TATGTTTACAGTAGTAAAACATGTCTCACACTGCTTACACTAACAAAAAAAACAATTGAAGCAATATTTCCATGCAAATAATTAAATAAAAACGCCTTCGCAAAAGAAACGCAACATCAACACGCTCCTGTATTGCTGGTATTGCATTGATTTTCTGTTGGCGTTTTTTTTCCATTTTTTTTATTTTAATTTAAAGATTTTTAATTTTTTTAAATCTCGTCTTGAAAAAATCTTAACCAAAATAGAACCTTGTCTCGTAGAGCGAAATTTTAAAATTTCCCAAAATTTCAAGACCTGTCCATCCCTAAAAAAATAATAAATATTGTCTACTTGATTGATTTTATTTTGTGTTTATAATAGTGTTTATAATAGTATATTTCATCACTAGGGCGCAAAGTGACTCTTTTTGACCAGAGCTCAAGTTTTACGATCGAGACGAAGCTGAGGTCTGATGATGGGCGAGGGTTGAAAAGACACTTTTTGCCCGTTTGATGAACTTTATTTTTGTCATATTGCACCATTATTTGAATAAACTATATTACAAAACTTAATAGTTTTCATTTAAAGATAACTCAAAACTACATACTTCTAACTTGTTTTCAATTTAATTTTCTAATGGTTAACAAGCAGCTGTTTAGGTGATTCAATTGTTTAGTCTATTACAATTGTGTTAGTGTACATTATACTAGTGATATGTCAAACTATTTAGAATAAGGCAACAATAAGCTACAATCAATTAAACTCAAAATCAAAATTTACAACTGAGTTGGCAACAGCTGATTTTTACTCCCTAGAGAGTAAAAATACTACTAGAGTTAGACCCGCAACGCATGCATAAAAAACGGCCATTTTTGCTGCAATATGACAAAAAATAATTTATGGCACCAAAATGTTTTTGCTGAGGAAACAGTCGAAATTCTGGTGTTGTTTTAAGTCTGTTTTACTTGCATAGTGACAAAATTAAATTTATAGTAAAACCCCTAATTGTTGTTACATTACACTTCATTGTGGTGGATCATATTTTAAAGGTGAGAGTGTGAACTACCAGAAAAGCCACAAGTAGGAATCAGTATAGCAATAAAATAATTTAAATTTAAGTGAATACTATAGGTGAAAGCCAGTTAACCCAAATTACCTCAGATTAAGATGAACACTAACACAATGGGTCCTAAATAAAAAAACAATTTACACTTAAACCTACACCCTTACATAAATAACGCTAAGCCCAATGAATAGGTGAGGTTTACCATTATATAATGGCTGCCTAATCATTATTTGTGGTAATGCGGCGACTCATTAAGTAAAAGCTCATATTGAGCTTGTTGGTTCATTCCAAAATTGTTTCAGGTTATTTTGTATCATCTTTTCAAAAACCAATTCAATAATGATAAAAACAGTTGAGTCAAGGCAGCAGTTAATTTTTGTACAACATCAAAAGTAAAACTAATTTGTTGATAGTATAAGCATAGACTAACCAACACAAGTAGACATACCATTGTAAATTTTGAAGCTTGTTTTTTGTGTCTAGTTCATGTAAGTCGCTAGTGTAGACAAAATTCAGTTTTTGTTTTTTTTTTTAAGTTACTAGCTGGCCCGACAGACGTCGTCCTGTTCTAGTGTGGTTTTATGTCAAATGCTCGTTCATTTTCAAGATGAGCTCGTTCGCATGGCTCAACCACGTCCTGGTTGAAGTTCGTTCGCTCCGCTCATTTACCTTTAGGTTGGAGCTCATTCGCTACGCTCACTTGCCTTCAGGTTAGCTCGTTCGCTACGCTAACTCACCTCCAGATTGAAGTTCGTTCGCTACGCTCACTCACCTTTTGGTTGCAAGTTAGCTGTTCAAGCTGCAAGGTAGCTGTTGGTCAAGTCATAAATAAAAAAAATTAGTGCTGCACCCTGTTGTTAAACCTATTAACTTTTTAATGCTAATGAACATATCAAATTGTTTAGTTGAACCAGCTGTTGAGTTTTTAAATTACTTGAATAACAAGAAACAAATTGTACACAAAACACGACCGCGCAGTTTTTCATACATATGTGTATATTCAGTATGTATTTGAACAGCTGTGTGAATGTATTAGATAAGTGTCCTCTTCAGAACCAACAAAATAGAAAAAATAATTAAACTTAAATATATTTCAAGCCAAGTATAGCAGAAAATTATTTTTTAATAAAACCCCAATATCTGCAATGAGTACCTCTTTTTCAAACCTTCATAACGTTACCCAAGTCTTATAAGTAGCCCTTATATCCTAAATACTCTCATTTGTTCACAAGGTAATAAGATTGAAATCGCAAGTGTAAGTGGTTGTGTATGCATCTTTCTTTTCTATCGTCAAGTTCCATTATAAACATTGTTATCACTAAAAAATAAAAATCAAATCACAATGATAAAAATTAAACCAATAGATATCCAACCAATAGATAATAGAGTTTTTTCATCTTATATATTTAAAAAAATTTATTTTTCTTTTCCGAGTTCTTTTGGCTCTTCTAACCGACCGATTTTCATGATTGAGTCTCAAATTGATATGCACGCACAGATTTCACATCAAGCACCGGCATATATTAATCTACTGTATTACTTGACCAAAAAACATAAATTTGATTTATTTTCAAAATGCTACTTCAATTTAAGATGTATTTCACCAGTTATAATTATATAATCCTATATATTTTGGTCGAAGAACCTTCAGTGAAATACCGTCTTTCATTATTATTAGGTATCCAAATCGGACAAGTTTCAAGCAAACGCAAGGTGAACAACCAACATAAAAATAATTTTTTATAAGATTTTTCTATGATTAAAAATCAATAGCTCCAGAGTATTATTTATGTTTTTAGACTCAAAATAAACAGTAAATTATAGGCTTTAATTTGAGGTATTGATAGTTTTAATCAGTTAACTTGTTCAGTGCTAATAATTACAAGTATTGCGACCCTAAATGCAAAAAAAAAAAAAATTAGAAGGCTAATAATTTGAGGTGTTTTGCCAATATTTGCTAAGTTCTAGGAATTTGGCTTCAGTCAGTGTATTTACATTGACACATTGCTTTATTTGCCCTAAACCATGGTAAAAATCCTGAAACACAATCCAACTTTTGCTGACCAAATTTTACAAATCATGATTTGAACGCCAATGGGTGTATTTTCCCCAAATATGAATGAAGTATGAGAACGGAGATAGATGAATTGTATCCTCACATTCGTCACTGGTTTCACAACTCACATCACCTGTCTGAACATAATTTTCATCCCCTTGACATGCCTGCAATATTTACTTAACTATAGGTGCATAATATGAGAATTGTAACATTCTGTATTTTAACAGTATATGAATTGTTGTATACATTATTTTTTATATATTGAGGCCAAAGTGAAGGTTCAATTTCTAGATACTATGATCCAAGTTTGGGATATAATAAGAGATAGGCATATAAATTTAAAATTATCAATAGCTTTCTTTCACAAACTCAATTTTGCACCCCACTTTAACCCTTCCCGGACGGGTGACGGATATATCCGCCTAAGTCTTTGGCAATAAAGGACGGGTTTTTGATGTTCCGGACGGGAAGCGGATATATCCGCCTTCTCTTCAGACAGACTGGCAGGTGCTTGAGCAGTAACCAGATGTTTCGCGGTACCAAGGCGCCACTTCCCTGCTCTCTCCCGCACTCCCCCCTCTCTCTCGCGCCGACCCCTCTCCCGCGCACCACCCAACTCTCCTACGCTCCCCCTCGACGTTCCGCGCTCAACACTACGTTGTCTTTATTTATTGTTTATATATTGTCCTTTATTTATTGCCTAACGTTGTCATGGTCATATCCTCAAAGACGGGTGGCGGATATATCTGCTGCTTTTCTACTCATCCGAGTAGAATATATCCACATAGAAACAAGTAAAAAAATTATTTTGACAGTATGAAGTGTTCCATTGTGTTTATTTTATGTATACTTGTAAAACAAAACACAAATAAAAAAATTAATTTCTTTTTTTTTCCTATAATTTTTTCCCTTTCTTTGTCATGATTTCGCCCGTCCGGGAAGGGTTAAAACCACAAAGCTCTAAAAAAACTATAATGTTAGCGTTAGGTCAAACTATCAGGAACAACCTTTGATTCACCAAACGAATTTAAGTAATCAAAAATTGTTAAAATCTAAGGCTTACCTTATGATCCAATTTGTTTTATAGTGTAGACCTAATTTTCTATGTTGAAACGTTATCGTCAATCCTTTTTCTCATAGGTTAGCTATGACAATAAAAAATAATGCACTGAATTGTATTTTACACATGAGTTGAATCATTTATTAAATGAGTTTCCCTCCCACAATAATAAGGTAAGCTCAGTTAAATGATTGCTGACTGTTTTATACAGTATCTGCATTTCATACTGCGTTGTGTATACACTAGGGATGTGTCGAATCTGAATCTCGAATCCACAGAATCCTAAGAAAAGATTCGGATTCATGATTTAAGAATAAAAAATAAAAAACTTTTTAGAATAGAATTATAAGGCATGCACTAACTAGACATAACTAGACATTGCCTAGCTATAAAGGTTATTTATTGATGTCGTAATATATTTATACTGTGACATTGCCTAACCATAGATGTTATTGACTAATATACAGTACTGTGGATATTGACTAACCATAGAGGTTATTGACGTCGTAATATACAGTACTGTGACATTGCCATTTTATGAACAGAGTGTACTATCGATCAACGAATATAAAAGTTTAGTTTCAAAATTCCTGGATGCGACCATTACTAGTATACACTTATACTTTTGCTTGTATAAGTAACTATACAATCAAAATTCGGAAGGTACGGCAATTTCTGTGTTTCTTTCCATTCAACTTATGGGATCATTCCTAATTTTCAAGATTTCTTTTTCGTAGGATTTACTGAAGTGGGCCAATATTTTATAAGCATAGTCTCGGTGTGATGTGGGGTAAAAATATAAGAAATTAGTAATAATTGTATGATTTTGATTTAAGGACCTGAACAATTGGAATATGAACAATAGTTGTCTTCAAGCTCTTGCGCTTTCCCCTCGCACAGAAACTGCTGATAGTAGGGTAAGTAAATTAAATTACACATGAAATTTCATTCAACTGTTAAGTGTCATATGTTTGTAAGTATGTCCTATGTGTCGTATGTCAATAAAATAACAGTAATCCTCCTTTAAGAAAACACGGTTTTTGTGCGGAAAAATCTTTTTAGTAGTGTGTTGAGAAAAGCATGAGATCCACTACACAGTTTTGGCAACGGCAGAAAAACGTGTTGTCTTGCAGATTCTACTGTCACAAGTAAATTAAATTACACGTGAAATTTCATTCAACTGTTAAGTGTCATATGTTTGTAAGTATGTCCTATGTGTCGTATTTCAATAAAATAACAGTTATCCTCCTTTTAGACAACACGGTTTTTGTGCGAAAAAATCTTTTTAGTAGTGTGTTAAGAAAAGCATGAGAGCCACTACACAGTTTTGACGACGGCAGAAAACCGTACTGTCTTACAGATTCTATAGTCACTGAGCCGGTTGTCGCACCATGGCCGTGCGTCATAAGCAAATGTAGTTAAATCCAAGCTTTCAAACTGCACAGTTCTTTTGTCGAACGGGAGCCCACTGCGAACTGTTTAGATGTTTATTGTTTACAATCTGGCTTGCCAATCGGTCACTGTTTTTTTTTCATACGTTGTCATATTTTGTCATATTGTCATATGTTGTCATATTGTCATACGTTTGCATTCTGAACATTGAATAATTTTGATATCCCAAACATTCCCTTAATCTTTTAGGGGATTTTAAATTTCTTTCCTCCTCAGATAGTAAAATCTCTCAAGGCTTAGCAGTAAATTTAATTTGGTTCAGCTTTGCTTAGGAACAAACAGGTGTTTCAAGTACTCCATGAAGTACTGGTTGAAATGAGTGTAGTCAATTTACTGTATGATTAAATATTCCCCACAATGTCTTATAAGACAGTCAGCTATATTTTTATTTTGGCTGTAGGCGTTATAACATTTTAAGATTTGTTGTCTCCTATCATTCAGGGCGGGAGAAGTCCAATGATATCTCCGGGAACTTCACCACTGTTGGTCCGAAGAGCTACTGCTCCCCCTCCACCTCTACCTCCCCGCCGTGCCTCCCCTATACTCGGCACACCTGCCAATTCTATCAGGTATCAGATAAGCACATGAATAAATTAACTGTATTTTCATTTGAGAAGATTGTATAACCAAATGAAGAAACTACAACAGAATTTATGAAGGCTGGCGGTTTTTAGTGAATTTCCCTATTAGGGACTTAGGCCCGGGACGATTTTCTTTTTCATTTTGATGTCACCACAGGCCAAAAACACCATTTATTAAAATTTATATATAAATATATATATTATATATAGGGTGTTTTTTTAACTTGCTTCTTTAGTTATGTAAAAATTGCAATAGATAGAAATAAGCAGTTTGTGGGAATCGTCTATTGATGTAGGGGCCACAATTGTTGTTAATTTAATGTGAAGTTCCCATTCACCCCGATTCTCCCTCTACCCTTAACTTAAAATTTTTAAATTGCAAGGTACCCCTTTTGACATATCAAATGTGAGGGAATTAAAAAAGAAAAAGAATGGCGTAAACCTAGAGATCTCTACATCAATCCTATCAGCTATTTTTTTAATAAGGTATCCTCTATATATCCCGATAAGTTATTTGGATTAGTAGGATGTTATGATTATGATGTTATGGGCTTGGATTAGCGGGGTTCACTAGTGTCCAGTGAAAATTTAAAAACAAAAATCTTTTAAAATTATCAGACCAACCCGCACTACATATACAACTATGTCCCTCTGTTTCAGTTGTAACCAGCTGACAGTTCCTAGTGAGGAAGCACCGCCGCCCCCGCTTAGTAGCCCATCTCCCCCCGCCCACCACATGTCTGATGAGACGCCTAACATCAATGGTATATTTTATACTTAGTACATAGTTTAAGTCACCTTATTTTGACAGGGACTTAGCTAGGGAGCTTCAAGCTCTGGTTGGTGTTTGAAGTAGTGATGATCAAGACCAGAAATTTAGAATCTTTTGAAAGGGAAACATAAAAGTTTATTCCGAATCTCTAATCCCAAAACCTAAATATGGAACTGTCAACCTACTAAAATACCAGCTACGGTTTAGGACTTTTAAGGTCAGGTTTGATTCTCTTGAAGACACTATGGGGTTATGTAGGAAATATTACTCTTTAAACTGTCGATCAGTTCTTTGCTTTTGATAAGCTGATCAATGGTTTGGTGTACATACAGCTCAGGTACTTAACTGAGGAGTTAGACTGTTTCCCTTTTAAACATTTAAGCATTTAAAAATAAATACTTTTCGCAAAATAAGTTAAGTATTTTACCTCAGATTTTTAAAGTATTTTCCTCTATAGGATTATCAGCAGAGTCGAGATACGACATCTTACAGACTGCAAGAAACCACCTTCGCCACCAGTCTTGCCCCACCATCCCCAGCACGATTGCCAACATGCTGCCTACAAAATCCCTCACCACACATCAATTCCCCGCAGATCTCCCGTCTGCCCCACCTCTACCTCCGGAACCACCAATTCATTATGCGGAGCTTGCCCCCCTCTCTGAGGAGCCTAGCTATGAGAACACTATCATCCTACCAGGTATATTACCTCCCTCCTCCACCATACAAAAATTAATAATTTAAACCAATTGGGGCAAGAAGAATGCTTAACTAGAACTATTCATAAATTGAGTTATTTAATTTACATAACTAATTTTCCTGTGGCAATTTTTTTAAGTTAAGTTTTAGAAAAGAGCCAAGTGGCTGATAAGGCAAGAGATGAAGGTCAGTAAGCACAAATTTGTAACTTTAAATCCCATCGGTTTTGCACTGCGGCACTGTGTTGTCCAAACAGAGATCTATCATTTCATGTACTACTCCACGTTTGCTTTCATTTAAGGTCTCCTTCAACTCATGAACCATCCCCAGTAAGTTGGGAAAAAAATATGTTTCTTTCAAAAAGTAGATTTTTAGGATTTTAGGTGTGGTACATATGTGCTAAGATTCCTTGCATTATCTGCAATTGGTTCAAAAAATAAAATGCTGTTACCAGTTCCCCGACTTTTTGAGGATTCTGTATATTTTTGTTTTAATAAACTAGCATGAAAAACGTGAACAAACGTTTTCTGTTTGTTCCGATTGATTCTGTTTGTTTGTCCTATTGCCAAAGAAACCATACTGATTTTTGTTTCCATTCTAACACATTTATTATTTTGTTTAAGGAAATATCACTGTGATAAAACCGATCTATGGTTTGACAACGGGATTGGAGGCACCTATAATTTCAACTGGTGTTGGAACAGCCAAATATTCCCCAGCAGATAATAGGTAAATGCAGTCACTGTTGTGAAAATTAGCATCAGTATTGACGTAGTTTATATACAATCAAAGATTTTTAAAGTGTTTTCTCCTGTTTTAAATTACAAAGCACTGTTAAATCAGTATTTCATGACAGTTTTTGTGGCTGTTTCATTAATGCATCAGATATGATTTTTTTCTCTTTTATATATAAAACTGTAAGGTGTAAGTTATGTAGTTTATCTTGGATGCTAGGACCACAGATCAAACAGTCAAACACTATCTATCAAACACTATGGGGCCCTTAGTAGATTTCTCATCCTTATGGAACAGCTGAAGCCAATTTTATCGTTAGTTCTGCCAGTGCACTTTATAGGTTGTGTTTTGTTTACATTTTGTTTCTTGTTATTTCAGTAATTTAAAACCTTGTTTAACCAAATAAAACGATATAATCATAAACAATAACTCATCCTCTAGCTATATACCAAACAGTAAAGCATAAATCATGAAATTAACTCTAAAATAATAGAAAAAAAAATGTTGTCAACACTAGCCACCACGAACCATGAACTAGACACAAAAAACTAGCTTCAAAATTTACAATGGGATGGGAAGTCTACTTGTGTTGGTTAGTTTATGCTAGGACTTTGGAGTCTAGCTTTTCCACTATTTATGAATTTATTTTCTTGCTGTATGTATTATACAGCTGTGTTATGTGATGTATTTAAGGTCTTTGATTGTGTTGATTACAAAATAATTGTAAAACCTAAACTAAAATACTGTAAATGTTCTGATTAAGCCTTGTCGTGGGTAAATTCCTATTTAGAAAACAGGTACCAGAGGAAAATCATTATGGAACACAATACATATCAGGATGGCTAAAATTAATTGTAGCGTCCCACAAGGATCAATTTTAGGCCCCCTATTGTTCTTTGAATACATGAATGACATGCAATCGTCAATTAAACAATGTAATTCAAACTGTGCCCCACATCTACGTGGAATTCTTTCATTCTAAATCTTGTGCAATTAGCAAAAGAAATAATTAAATAAGGAAGGAAAAAAGTATAAAACCAACATGTGTATAAGTTGTAAAACCCAGTTATTTCTGGGGAAATCCAATGATAGAACAGTTTTAGTGTTGTGTTAAATTTGTATTTTTTGTGTAATTTCAACGCCTAGACACTAATTTTTCATATAAATGATCTACATCTTTCTCTTAAAAAGAACTCCTATGCAAAATGTGTTTTTGAAATTAAAATTGTACTGTGGAATTTTTCCTAGCTTAAAAATTGTGATGCAGATAGTTAAGTTTACCTTTTTAGACATTCTTCTTGATGATGAAACAGGTCACGGTAAATCATCAATATTAGATTGATTTCTAAGAAGCAATTGACTTACAAAATTGACCAGGCCTATGTAATAATGATACCAACACCTTAATCAATTCAGGTTAAACCTGGAGCTGAGCGCTAATGTGAGCATAGTGCACGGTCCCTCCCGAGCGTCGTCTGTCGACTCTCAGAGTTCGTCCAGCAGTCTCACCCTCCCTCCACACCCCCCCTCCACTCCTTCACCTGCCTCGGCATACGAGAACCTCAACATGGACCACATCGCCAAGCTCACATCTCAAGGTGAGTGATATATCTACAACAATAATCAGGAACACCTGTTCAAACAGTTGTCAATTGTCATTGATGTACAGAAAACTCCCTCTACTTTGGCTAGATGTAGGCTTCATTCAGGATAAATTTGAATATCCTTTATATTAACCAGAGAAGAAAGGTTCAGAGAAACTTGCTTATGGGACGACCGTGCGCTTTCAGCTCTAGTATGTTGTGCCGTTAATTGTGACGAGCAAGAAGAGCCCGAGCGACGAGCACTGTGCAGATATTCCTATCGCACAGGGCATAGTGTCTTCCTCCACCGTGAGCGTTGTGGTACATGAGGGCGGTGTTGAGCCTTTACCCCAGACACCAGCAAATAGTGCTAAACGCTGCTTAATTATTGTACCATTGAATGTCTCCTCTGTTCCTTATTGCTCTGTGTACTAACCCAGATTGCTAATTGATTATAAATTGTAGCCACTGCTATCGGCAATTGAGCAAGAGAAACAATTTACAACCACACTAGCCAGCTTGCAATTTAATTGGATTTGTATTGTGTGTCACAAAGAATTCGGCTCATCCATTGCAACATCACGTTCGATGGTTTGGCCTGATTGTTCTGCTGACAAGAGGTGTCAGAATTCCGTGTGATGTGTATGGCCGCCGAACCGAGGAGTCTGGAGCAGTCAGGTTAGGAGGTGGCAGAGATGCAAAATTGGGAACCCACGGTAGCCATCATGTATTATCTCATCTCTGGAACTTATAGTGATTTTCATATTTTGTAGGATATTCCCAAGAAGCGGTCATTCGAGCCCTGGGAATCACCCGGAATGACCTAGATATGGCTTGGGACATCCTCAACGAGTTTGCTACCAAACAAACAACGTGATGAGGCGTCTCTTCTATTACAGTGACAGGGTTTAAATGTGTCATCAGTTTGCTTGTACATAGCCATTTAGCACTATTCAACTTAGTTCGCACAGACTTTATGACCAAACCGCGTAACTAGGCTATACTTGATTTATTTTACAACTTTACCGAGTAAAACCATGCAATATTTTTGTACACATTCTAGTCTTATTCGAAACTTATTGAATGTTAACTTGTAATATTTTTGTAAATCGTTCCCCTCGTACTTGCAAATATGTACAAATAGTTATTGTTGAGATGGATACAATCATCTGTTAGTTTGTTGAACAATCATTTTGTATCAGACTCATGCTGATATATATGTTCCTCTTGAAATCATGCGTATCAATTTGGTAACAGCAAGTAGTTCATCCTTAACATTAGTCCAGGAAAAACCTTAGTCTTTGAATATTGTTATAAATACTTCACAAAATCAGATAGGTTTATTCATGTGTTTAGTCTCAAGAATAATGTGTATGATGTAATACCATAAAAGTTTGTTTTATCACTATATGTTATAACTAATTAGATTATTAAACTTGTGTAGTATAAACTGCAGTAAAATATATTTTCTTAATCTGAAAACTATTGTAACGTACAATTACTGTAATATTAAGTGCTTTGTATTATTTTACATTGAATTTATCTCTTACTGGATCTTAAGTACCCTCAAGAACTTAAATAAATGCAGTAAACGTATAAACATTTGCACAACACAAATCAACAAAATTTTTGTGCAGAAATAAAAACTACTGTGCAGTGTTCGGCTTATTTAATTTTCAGTTACTTAATTTTTATTAGCAGTTATTTGTACTGTTATTAGTAGTTACTTGTCACCTAGTGTTAGCAAATATAATTTTTTTGTCCTTAAAATTGTAAGGTCTTCAAGGCCTGGTTAGAATGGTTACAGACAAAACATAATACTTGGAATATTTTTTGTTTATAAAGAGGTTGGCATCTCATTCAACAAACATATAGTCCAGTCAAAATATATAAATTAATGACTTAACCTCAAGAACCGTTTGTCGGAGCTAAAAGTGACCAATACTAAATGAAAGATAATTAAATTATCAACAAACTTAATTGTTACAGAGTTATAGGGTTAGTTGTAGGGCGCTAAAATATGGGGTTTTTTCCTCAAATTGTCTGTACTTTACTTTGCACCATTGTTAGTACCCCGATAGTTTGAGAAAAAACGCCTAATTTTAAAGCCCTATAACTCGGTAACCATTAGGAATAAAATAAAAGTGCTAATGTCATTTTTGTTGAAAATTTTTTGGTCTTTCATTGGTATACAGCCACTTTTAAGTCCAACCAACGGTTCTTGAGATATTAGCCAAAAACCAAAAAAGGTGCCCTGTTTTTGCTAATTGCCGCTAGAGCTTGCCTCATATTAATGGGGACTTTTGATATAATGTTCCCTAGGTACCTAGATATAAGTGTGCAAAGTTTGATGCCAGTGAAATTTTCAGTTAAAGAATCACAAACCCTTTTTAAGGAACCCATTACGTTTTTGTGGATATGTCCGGAATCAAACCTGTACCGCTCACCAAAGCCCGAGATGCTAACCACTAATCCTTTATCGGAAATTAAACGGTTCTTGAGGTTACCTATGTGAACAAGCTATGTTTATTTCCTTAGTTCCAACAAATATTTGTATGTTTCGTACAATTAGTCGCACTGCATGCCACTTGTAACACCAATTTTGTGATAATTGCTCTAAATGTTTAATGTTTTTTTTAACTTGTGAATTTTTCAGTATGTTTAGTTTTTTGTTAGGGTGTCACATTAAAAAATGTTAACCTAATAATTAGAAACTTACAAAAGTATAGACACATTGAATAAAAACACAGGGTAGGTTTATCAAGAACTTAATTGAGTGGTTATAAAAACTATTCTGTAAAGAGCAAGTGATTTTATCTAATAAGTTTATGTGCGTTCATATAATATTTGCAAACATTCATTTGTTTTTTTGTAAGTGTTACATTTCATATTGTAATCACTGTAACACCCTTTTTTCTCCATATAAAAGTTTTCAGTGAAACCGGGCCTGACCAAATTTTATAAAACAATTATTACAAATACAAGACCTTATGACTACAGTGACAGATAATGATCTTGGTATATGTTTATAATGTTTTCGTTTCATAGGTAGAATTTGTTTTTCTACCTTTTAAAAAAACGTTTCTTTTGTCTAAAATTAAAGACTAACATGATTTTGTAGTATAAGTAAAAAAAAACTGACCTTTGCATAACAAACATCTCATAGTTATTGGTAACTAAAACAATTTTTAAACACTTACATTTAAAATATAGATGTATTTGTTTGGAAATTAAAAATGGTTTTGAAATAGTTTATTATTGTAACTAGAGAAGAAAACTGTTGATTACAAGAGCAACAGATTTATCAGAAAAGTTTAAAATGTAATGAGACGACGTAAAGACAATTTATACACTATAATTTATTTTATTTCCTGAAATTAGAGACGTCATATTTACATACTAAAGCATACTTACCACTGTCAAGCTCAAGTTTCAGCTAAATACGAGGCAAAACTTTATACTGTGCTCACAAATATTTTCTACTGTAATTTTTTGGTCAGCATAGCACAGTTTGGAATATCATGTCTTAATACTCATCAATGTTAAATATGACATAAATTTAATGATGAAACCATCAATATCACTAAAGCTGTGTTTTAAAATCTGCTTAAAAAATCACTTGAAAACATGCTTGGAATATTCCCATATAAGAATTTACAACAGCAATGTTTTAACCAAATCAATGGTTGTACAAAAGCAAACATCTCATCAGCAATCTTTATGTCTTAAAATTGTAAATAAAAATGTTAAAATATTTTTACTAGTGGTTTGTATTTTACTCAATCCTGCCTCTACAAAACCTATGTATTTTATTGTGTCTACATCTATTTAGATGCATATTTTACTGTGAACACAATTAAATTTCCGAACATAATATCAAGATCAGGGATTGGACCTCCTATCAAACTGAGTTAAAATGCTACTGGCTTTGAAATTTACAAAGTTTGAAGAAATAAAAATTGGATGTAAGGTAAGTATTGTCTGGCAAGGTAAAAAACTCGCAGGTTTTTAGGCTGGAAGGAATTGTGTGCCAGAGAATACCTAATAAATATATTTAAGGGAAAATCTGAAATGGGTTGAGTTTGAGTCGTTAAGAGTATGAGAAGGAGGCCAAACCCATCTGAACCATCAACTTAACCCTCGCAACCTAACCTTCGCAATGGTCTTGTGGATACCTAAATGCCCACCCACAGGAGAAGAATGGCAATACTCAAAGACCATAGGGATTAGAAGACTAGGCAGCACAACTTTAGGTTTACCTCGCTGCCGAGAACTGCGAGCTGTTTGCTCCCTTCCTGCTTTGTTCACTTTTGTTTGATTTAGGCATCAAAGAGAAACAGGCTGAAATTTTCCTTTGGTTTTCAGATGTCTCGGCATCAAAGAAAAAGGATAAAAACAGTCGTGAAATTTACAAACATTTTTATTGTAAGGCTAATTTAACTACAAAATTCAATGACTGCAAAAACACATGATGGACAAATAAAGATAGCTGGCAACTGTTTTCGAATACATTATTTGACAGTTTCACCCAGTAAAAAAAATAAGTTTTGTCATAGTAACTCAAGATGTAACAAAATTAAATATAAACATTGTACAATATAACAATCAAAATGCGCAACACTCAGTCTATTGGTAGAGTTAACGATGCTACTGGGCTTGCAGGTTCATAAGTACGTTTTGTCCCGGTGGAAGGTAAGAGACATTACGTGACCGAGACAGTTGGTATGCGATGTCTTCAGCAGCTTCTATTCGTCTCAATTCGACTAGACCTTCACCTGCGTCTCCGAATGACTTAGCCAACATTGCTGCAGCAGTAGCATCACCCTCTGCGGAGATAATTGCTGCGTTCTTCTGTTGTTCTGCCTGCAATGCACAAGTTGGGTCAGAAAGGTCTCTTTGTAACAAGTTTCTATAAAACACTATAAACATTTTTGTGGTGTGTTTCTGAACCAACAATGACAGAGTAATCTATAAAGTGTGTTTAACGATACTCCATTCATAAAATTTAGGCCTATTTGGGGGAAGCAATTCCATCCCCTCCACCTGCCGTAATTTATAAAAACAGCTCAACAGCTGAGGTTTGGCAAAACATCAGCTGCATGACATAAAACATAACTTAAGTTTTGGAGTAAAAATTATCGACAAGCTTATGAACTGCTCAAAAGTAGGTTATTTTTTGTAGACTTAATTTAGAGCACAATGCCCCACGTAAAAACTGATTTACTGAAAAACTAGGACATTTTCAGTACCTAGATTATCTACATTACAGTATCCAATTGTGATTTAAATGTCCTCCGTCCTGGAGGTTGATATGTTCTGTTAATCTTAATTGTTACGCACACCAATTTCTTGATCAAAATGATCACATTGGATATTGTTACTGTGTTTTGTGTGTGTGTGTTTGAACTAATGTCTCCCCTAATTAAAAAAAAAAATTTAAACTATGTAACAACAATGTACAACAATATGTTGTCTATCATTAGGCCTACCTTTTCTACAAGGAACTTGGCACGTTCTGCCTCTTGCTGGGCAACTTGTTTCAGTTCAACGGCTTGTGTAAATTCTTTTCCAAACGTCAAATGTGTCTGTAAAACAATGAATAATCAGGTCAAGATGGTATGGGAACACTCGCAGAATTCACTGAATAAATGTGTAAGAAAACAAATACATTACATAGCTCCTAAAACTAACAAAAAAACTTGTTTTAGGTTTAGCTCCTAACCTAAAACTAACGTGATATGCTAAAAAAGAGATACCAAAGTAATTTAGTAATTGACAAGAGCGAAATCTTTCGATGACTCAATTCAATTGCGTCTATTTACATTAATAAAACAGGCAACAACAAATGGATAGTATCTAGTTCTATCAATAGCCAAAGATTTGACACTCATCTCATAATAGTCATCCACTCTTTTCATATTCAAATTAAAATATGTACACAATGTACATTGCTGTCTTGATGAACAAAGAGATTTGGTAGAAATAAAATATCAAGCGAAACTGAGAAAAAAATATTATTGGTCACTTTCATAAGTGGTGAAATTCAATACTTAACCGATGAAACTACCTAAGCAATTTCAAATTCATAATCCACAAACACATTTTTTAGACACAAAATAATTTCATTTCTCTCAATATGAATAATATAAATCGTTTAACCTCCACTGTTGTGGACCAGTTAGGACTAAACACTTACGATGGAGATGTCGTCCAAGATGACACCGAACTGTGCAGCTCTCTCTACAAGGGCCTTGCTGACTCTCTGCGAGACTTGCTCTCTCTGTGTGATCAACTCTCCAGCATCAAACTGGGCCTGCAAACAACCGGATCAAACACTGCTTGAAATGTTCAAACAACCAGATCAAACACTGCTAGAAATTAGGGGTACCTCGATTCTCGACCCCACATAACCTTGGACATTGGTATAAAGTATCAAGAATCACTTGTAGAGCACATAACGATATCGATATCCAAAATGTCTGCAAAGATTGCACAATCGAAAAATTTACGCTTTTGCCACGATTGTGGAGTGGATATAAAGTTTCCCAGACTGTGATAGACAATGGAAGTGTCTACATGAAGTGTTCATGATTTTGCAACGGTCATGGAAGATGATAATGTCTACACAATTGCGAAAGATGATCAGAATTTTGTCATGATCGCAGGCGACGATTATGATGTCTATATGACAGGGAGATATTCAGGATTGAGCTGCGATCTTAGGAGACAATGCTGATCTTCCTGACCTTGGGAGATTTTCAATTTTTGTTGACAATAGTGTTTTCTTTGTAGCCTACTGCGAAGGATATTGAAATTTTGCTGCGATTGTGGAAGACAATGATGATGATGTCTACATGGCTACAGGAGGTATTCTGAATTTAACCACGATCATGGATGAAGGTGATGTTTCTGTTGCCACGAGGGATATTCAAGATTTTGGCGTGATCACAAAAGATGATGATGATGTCTCCACAACTTTGAGAGATATTCAGGATTTGTCCGCAATTGCAGAAGACATTGGTGATGCCTACACAACCGCGGGAAATATTCAGCATTTAGCAGCAATCTTGGAAGACGATGTTTTCATTACCACGGGGATATTTAGGATTAAAAATCTGAACACAAAGGAATACTGTTATCTAAATATACTCATAATTTCAGCACTAACCCTCCCAACATTCGTACATTCAAAACACTTTTATTTAACTCAATCCAAATTGCAATTCCTTCAGTGTAATTACAATGTAAACTGCATTGACCGTTAATCAGTCAATTATGTGTACCTAAGTAAATATACTGAAATATATTTACTTAAATATATTTAGCTTCCTTAGTTGAAAATGCTGTCAGTGACAGTGAAATATTCTAATGTTTTGTGTATATAGTGTAAAGTTTTGTTTTGTGTTTCCTGTGCCAGTTTGGACTCTTTCCCATTCAGGTAAGCCTGCTATCCTCTCAAAAAATCCTAAAAAATCTAGGCCCTTGTGCTCTATGCTACACCCTTAACCTCAAACTGAAAAAACACTCATTTTCTTTCTTCCTTATTGTGTTCCTTTTTATCTATCCATCTTTCCTATTCCTTTTCACAATGTTTCTTGCCAAATCTTGGAAAAAGCTTCCTTAGTTGAAAATGCTGTCAGTGACAGTGAAATATTCTAATGTTTTGTGTATATAGTGTTAAGTTTTGTTTTGTGTTTCCTGTGCCAGTTTGGACTCTTTCCCATTCAGGTAAGCCTGCTATCCTCTCAAAAAATCCTAAAAAATAAATATACTGAAAGATACTTACTACAACAGCTTTCAGAACTTCAGTTGTGATGGAAGGCAACACTCTTTCGTCATAGTCCACACCAAGAATAGTATAGATCCTCGGCAGTTGTTCAGGAATGGGTCGGAACAGTATTCTCAGCGTAATGTTGACATTTTGAAGATCTGAATTAGAAATTCACCCAAATAGTATTAAAAATTTAGATTACACTCATATCCAGGTATTTTGTCACTAGGTAGGCTAAAAGACATTAGTCCGCTCCGATAATCAGGATAATATTAGGTAATCAGTATACTAGGTCGAGAATAACAGTGTTTTGTTTGTTTTTCTGTACTAATGTGTGAGGACAATTGTTTTAACTAATGTTTTTTGACAAAATTTGATTTTTTCATATGATGTGAAATATAAGCAAAAAAGTAGTTGACAAAAAAGAGAAAAAAAACATTGATTTATTCTAATTAGAGCCTAGATGGCAGATTATTTTGGCAGCAAACCATTTTTAAAAAACCTCATCTTAGTCTTCGCCGTTTGAAAAAAAGATGTACGGTACATTGATACATAATACAGTAGATTCTTGTATTGTCTAGGAGTTAAATGTAGGACGTTCTTCGGCAAGACAAATCATGTTTAGTGTCAGGAGCCCCATCATCTCACGGGCAGTCTGTAGAGTTGCCGTTGTTTACTTCATTAACCACCGGTGTGTCACCAATCACACCCAGAGAGTTTATGAGTATACATTCTGTGTGTTTCAATTTCTTGTATTAGCCTACTAGGCCTATACATAATCTCACCAAAATTATTTGTTTTGTAAATAGAAATGTGTGAGACAAAGTTAAAAGGTTTTTGTCTGCTGTACTTTTGAAAACCAAATAAATCATGAAACAAATTGAATAATCAATTAGGTAATAGATCCCAGGCCCCCAAGTGGTTTTTGACCTCAAAAAAGTAGGAAAAGTAGGACTTTTTCAGCAAAAAGTAGGACTTTTTACTGAAAAGTAGGACTTAATTTTACATACAAATCAAACTTTTTTGCTGATACAATATATATTAAAAACAAAATAATACTAGCATACACAATAGTTTATCAAATAGAATAGTGTATATAAATATACAGGGTGTTTCCAAATTGTCTGGACATATTTTGTGGACTTGTTTCTGGGGCTTAGACAAACATAAAATTCCATATAAGTATGCATGGGTCTAAAATGCCTAAATTTTTGTTGGTCGGTCTGTTTGTGACATTTAAAAATTATTTTATATCTTGGGCATTTTTCAAGATAAAACTTTTAAAATGGTTATAAATGTGTATTTTAGAAGGTGAAAAGAGCTTGCAAAGTTTCGATCCAATATCTCAAGCCGTTTCAATATGGCAGCCATTTAAAATCTTTAATGCCAAATTTCATGAAAACCGTAAATATTTAGAAAATGGTTTCCAGGATCAAAAAGATAGAGAATTCAAATCCAAATCAAATGAGACCTTGTTTGTAAAATCGGATGACAACCATAAATAAGTTTTTTTTTCAACATTCGGTTACACAGTTTAATAGCACTAACATACTGTATTCTTATTTGTTATTTTTCAGAGCAGTATGGGTAGTCCTATTAAATTGCGTAAACAAATTTAGAAAAAACTAATTTGGTTGTTTGTCATCAGATTTTAAAAAAACAAGGTCTCATTTGATTTGTATTTGAATTCTCTATCTTTTTGATCCAGGAAACTATATTCTAAATATTTACGGTTGCAAATTAAGTTTGGCATTAAATATTTTAAATGGCTGCCATATTGAAACGGCTTGAGATATTGGATCGAAACTTTGCAAGCTCTTACCACCTTCTAAAATACACATTTATATCCATTTTAAAAGTTCTATCTTGAAAAATGCCCAAGATATAAAATAATTCTTAAAAACACAAACAGACCGACAAATTAAAATCTAGGCATTTTAGACCCATACTTATATGGAATTTTATGTTTGTCTTAAGCTGGGTTTTCCTAGGCGCGGAAGCGGAGAGCGGAGAGAGGAACGCGGAGAGCGGAGAGAGGAACGCGGAGAGCGGAAAAGAAATTAACATGGTGTTCCGCTCCGCTTCTGGGAAAACAGAAACATTAAATTACCTAAGACAAGTGGAGTCCGCTCTCCGCGTTCCTCTCTCCGCTCTCCGCTTCCGCGCCTAGGAAAACCCGGCTTTAGCCCAAGAAAGAAGTCCACAAAATATGTCCAGACAATTTGGAAACATAACTAAAATAATTCTATATATAAATTTTAAAATTAATATCAATAATTAATTATTTTTATTTAAAAAATCTTCAACTAAAAGGCCGGATAAAGTTTTAGCTGAGATTGTACACCAAATATTCAGAAGTAACGCACAAGAGAAATTAAAATGTTAAGGTGTCATTATCTACAGTCATCACGAAAAAATATTTAGGACAAGCAGCATTAAATAAAGGATAAAAATAAATATGTTTCCCTAACGTTACCAACCAGCCCTAATTTGTGTTTAAAATGGTGCTGTAAATAAGAAATTTGTTCTTTTTTTATATTATTTAATATTTCAGAACTAAAATTAATATAAAAGTAAAATGAATTTTTTTGGGTGGAAAACAGAAGCATGAATAGTTATTTAAGTAGGCCTATAAAGTACGGAACTATATATAATATAAAATTCTAAAAATATGTTCCAAAAGTATTTTGAATTAGTTAGATTAGAGCTATCTTAAAAGTAGTAGGAATGTTTGAATTGTAATGAGTAAAAACTATTTGAGCCAGTGAGACTTGGACATTTAAACTTGAACTTAAGCCTTAATTTATTTTGAATACAGTTATGTCAAAAAATCATGTTTAGGCTAATCAGGGAAACACTGGACCGATAAGTGCCAAGTTAACTACTTTTGAACTAGTATCCCAGGGCTCCCCAGGAGCATTGATTTCCCCTCAGTTTACTTCATTGGGGAATCTAAAAGACATGTCAGAATAGTAAGCACTGATAATAATCACAATTTTTATTTTCTATCACAATAGTATTGCCATGTCTTTGAAAAAAAATGTTTTCACCCAATAACAATGTTGATAAGATTAACCATTCAGATACTACCAGTACTGGAACTTATAAATTAAAATTTAAAATCATCTAACAAATTGTTTTATAAAATATCTCAGTCAATCATATTTTTTAGGAAAAAACTTCTCATTGGGAAATATTGATAAGTAAACATTAATAATAAGTGTAATAAAATATCGAAAAATCGACAAAACTTTTATAAAAAAGTAGGAAAGTAGGACAAATGTGTAAAAAGTAGGACTTTTCCTACTTTCCTACTAAAAAGTAGGAAAAGTAGGAAAAGTAGGACGACTTGGAGGCCTGAGATCCACCTATTTAATGATCGAGCAAAACGATAATTTTGCTTAAATAATTTCTCATAAGCCACTGGGTGGATGGAAGTTCAAAACCCAGTTTCCAACCAAACTGTTAATCAACCTACATTGTTTCCAAGTACTAAGCAATTTGTCTGATAATTTAGTCAAGCTGCCACCAAAATGTCTACGTTATCTTTGTAAACAAATGATTAGGCCTTTTGTTTACATTTTAACTAAATTTGTACAGATTAAAAACAGACTTGATACCAACAAATGGTTTTACTTCAAGTAATTAGGCTACACCACACAGAAGTAAGAAACATAGGATACTGACACTTAGTTGGGTACATTTAAGTGGTGTCTAGAACCGTCTCTAGAGCCTTGAGCAATTTCTATCCATCATGTCCTCCCTCTCCCCCCCCCCCCCCCCCCCCCCCTCACCTTCACGTACTACAGCGCTCACGCTGTAGGAAGACACTGTGCGATACAACTGTTGTACAAACGCTATGTGGCCATTGCCGTCCCGGCTCTTCCCTGGTACATTTCCACCCAACATAAGAGCACGGCTGTCCCATAGGTATGTAACTTATCCTCTTTATCTTACTTCTCTGAGGCTACTAAATTTAAACAAAAGTACTAAACATTTTTAGGCTACACTGAACATTAGTTTCAGTTTAAATATCTACCAGGGTAGTAGTTGTAGTCTAGGCCTAATACTAATGGGTTTTAATAGGTACCTTTGCTTCCAGTTATGACAGGAACGTTCCTGGGACGAGACCTCACATCAAATATGATCGGTCTCTGGACCCAGGGGACGAAGAAATGTGTCCCTTCACCAATAACCAATTGTTTAATACCAGTGAATCTGTCGAAGATGACAGCTCGGTGGCCACCATCAACTGGAATAAAAATAGGTAATTTCAAATTTGTAGGGCAAATTTTATAGCTTTGAAGTTTATAAGTAAGACTTACGATATGTATATGACAGCAACAGTGTACATAAGGCTGTGAAAGAATGTTGATATACCTAGCTAATGTTTGAAAGATTGTTTTGGCCAGTCAGTTTTAAAATAATTAGTGTAATGTGACAAAATATTTTTAGTTAACTCTCATCAGAGAACTTATCGAAGGTTTTTATTCCTCCTTTTTTTTCAATTTAAATAATACCTAAGGTAAGGTTTTTGGGTCAGCAGACCAGGCTACAATTAGGCCTACCTCATACTTAACTGTGTCATTCTCTAGCTAAAAGTTATCGAAGCTCTAATTACAGTAGGCCTAATCTTTTTAACTAGCTGACAAAAAATTCCTTGGTACCGGCCCGTTAAATATTGTTTTCCTTGATATACTTTACATTTAATAATTTTACTTTTGAAATGGCGACCATAAAACTCCACAAAAAAGTTAATTCAATTGTGCAAGGGTTAGGCCTATTTATTACAGTAGGCTGGATATAAATTTCAGCTAGATCATAAGGAAAAAGGAAAACTTACAAGAGATTCTTAACTTAATCCTTTTGGATTTGAATATTTGTGTACTCGCAGATTTTGGGAATGTAAGAAGAAAAAAAATATGAACTCTAAGTAGGTGATAATTCCTTGCCTTAAAAGCTGAGAGTTGAAAAGGAGAGATTTAACTCTGACTGACTAAACTGTAAAGGTTATGGATCAGGTATATTGGTTCAGAGAAAAGCTCTGGTTTTGGTAAAATTACATTCAGTTCATGAACTTAATAATATTGTTTCTTCATAATGTTGCCAAACGGCTAAATCATTTTCCAAAATAAACTTATCACACACTTTTTAAATAAGCTCTAGGATTTCGGCATAAGCCTTCTTCAGGAACAAACAAACAATAACAAATATATGTGTTTACCACTCTGAATCAAATGGTTTTAGCAAAAATCCAAAATACCTACATATAATTTATAAAGAAGTAAAAAAGAAAATGTTGATAGAAAGAAAAAAAGAAAATATGTTTATAATTTATATGAACTTTAATAGTGGTGACACCTCAGAGGCTATTGCTAATTTCTTAAATATTCTTTTTGATACTAGATGGTACACTGATAGACCTAGACTAAGTAAGTTACTTCTATTATTTATCTGAAGTAAGTTACTGACCATTGTAAAGAGCCGAGTTGACGACACCCCCAACCACAGCCAACCCAAGTCCAAGCTGGCCAAGACGATTGAATATCTGTGTTGTCATTTTCAATTATAATATTAGGACTACCTACCTGAAATATAAAAGAATGTCCATTATTTCACACCCTTTTCATTCAGGTCCTACTTAGTGATGTTTCGAGTCAAGTCAACACAAGTTGAATCTGACTCGAGTCACAGGTTTTTGTCAACTCGAGTCAAACCCAAACTAATAAAGCCGAAGATACCTGAAGTGCACTAATCACTGATTTTACACCATCTACTCGTATTTATCAAGTCAAATAAATTAATTCAATGAGTATAATAAAACTGAGTTTATTTAAGTTGGTTATTTTTAAGTTATCATAGTTTGAGTTAACTTAGTTAAAACTACGAACTCCTGGGAGATATTGATTGATTGATTGATACCATGCCTTCTTAGGTGATAACTTAGGCCTATATCTTGAATTTCCGAAAAAAAATTTTTGTGCGTCCATAAGTTAGGTAGCCTACCGTACTTTTGAAATTTAATTAAATAGTTTTAGTAAATTTAGGATTTTAGCTACAAAAATGTATTTTTATGAATTATATTTTTGTATTCATTGATGCAGGTAACTTAATTATATTCTATTGAATGTCCCAAATCCTATGGTAGCCTATATTAAACCTCTGAGTGTTATTTGTCGCTGCAGCGACACATAACACACTATGTGTAGTGTTTTGTGTCGCTGCAGCGACTCACGAACACTGTTTACGGCGAAGGCTCTATGACTGACTGAATCGGATTGAACTGGATCGAGTTAGGTATCGTTCTTTTCGTTAGATTCTAAGCTTTCTCCAGAGGTCTGTCTCTAAGCGCTTTATGTTCTCCGAGCCGATCGTAATTGTAGCAGACAGCTGACGTGCGTAGGATTTGTAAACAGCTAGGTTACCCTCGGACCGATGACTGATGTGTTTTATTACGTTTATCATTGTTTTAGTGTTAAAAATCAAAAGTAGTGATATACGTGGTGCATTATAAAAAGATTTAAGTGATTTTGATGGGATGGTTGATGATCCTGAAGAAGTAGGTAGTGATATTGATGTAAATTATCAGCCAGATTCCTAGCTATGGTTAGGCTATGCATTCTTAGCTAAACGCTATGTACTGAAATCTGTTTTTCACTCATAACTTATTTATTTAATAACTTACCTCACTATATGATTATATATTTGTAATCCTCATAAAATTTAGAACAAAGTGGCTATTTTCAAATATTTATAGGCCTATAGGTAATTTATACAATTTCATTGAGCGCAAACATATTTTTTTTTGAAAATTTTCCAAAATATTTTTTTTTTACCTAAACATTTTTTTTTAACAAATGTTCCTTATGTTTTATATATAATATTGAAGCCCATGATTTTCCAAACAAAATGGTACCATATAGAACAGTATAATTAACATTATTTTTAAGCTTCTCAGATCCGTTTTAATAAAACCTTGCAAGTGAGCAAAAAATAGGCAGACATTAAGGCCAAAACAAGGGACACTCGGAGGGTTAATAATATTCGTTTTGGTAAATAACTTAAATATATGGGTTTTACAACAAACTGTGAGAGTGAAATGCTGCAAGGATGGCAAAAAATGCCTGGCCCTACAAAAACTCTCTGGTTGGAAAATACCGAACTCTCTATGTGGCCGTTCTAGGATTAAAAATTCGTTTGTTTGGAGGCACCTATGGGCTACTACATAATTACCGGCCTAGCTGACAGGGCTGCTTATCAAGTAGCCAGGTCTGAATGATCTTAAATACTTAGGCTAACTTATCTCACAGCCAGGTCAATGTGTGATGTAAAATTATTTTACTACTAAGCAGTAAGATTAAAATCCTATTGAGACTCAACGATGAAACTTTGTTTAACTTCAGTTATTTAATTTCATAAGGATTGAACTGCAATCACGAAATATAAATGTGTTGCATCATTTACTCGATTGCTAGGTAGAGAGTACCCTCAGTTGACAAGGTTAATAAACATGTTTGCAGCTATAGTAGGTTTTAGACTATTTTATCGACACTTCTCATGACAGGAAAAGCAAAGAAATGTCTATAAATTGGTAACATTAACATGAAAAACGTACCTATGTGAACAATTAACCTCAAGCGCCGACGAAAATTGACCAGCCAGACCGTGAATTTTGCGAAGCCGAAACGAAAGCCAATAGCCAATAGCCAAAGAGGCGAAGGCGATAAGAAAAAGAAAGAATTAGAAGACAAACATACATGACCGAGCGGAGCCGAGAAAGATGGCAGACCAAAGAGAAGGGCTAAAGGTGAAGGGATAGAAAAGGGAGCGTTGATTATTAAGTATATATCTTATTGATTTATGGCTATTTTGGGTTTCCTCAAAAAAAACAATAGCATTAACTACGTAACTATTTATTTACGAGTTTATTCGTCATCATAGGACCCAGCCGCCAGCCCAAATTTTATTTTGTTATTAATTTATGTTTATAATATTTGTTGCTCAATGGCAGCTGAAAAAGGCATACAATATGCAGATTCCGGGACCAACTTACTATTTAATTTTGATGTCCCCAGAGGCCAAAAACACCATCCGTTCAAATTTATATTTATATCAGTGGCGGCGATAAGAACCCGCGCCCCCCCCCCCGCAAGTTTGTTTGCCGGGCCCCTCTCTCCCAATGATCTTTAAAAACATTTTCCCATGTATTACCGCCTAAACTTGCAATTTTGCAATAAACTTGACAAGGCATCTCCCGAGGCGTCATTATCGTCTTCCATGATCGTGGCAAAATCGTAAATACTTCCCGTAGTCATAAGTCATGGAAGAAACATTATCATAGTTTACCATGATTGCAAATGCAACCAAACCTATATGACATCATTAGATAGCAGCATCATCGTCTCCCGCGTTCACGGCCCAATCTAATATTTCCCCGCGACCCGTCGGTGGTGACGGGTAAATCATTTTTCCATAATCGTGGCGAAATCCTAGATATATCTCTCGCTAAAAAAGAAACGTTATTATCGTCTTCCACAATCGCGGTAAAATATTGAACATCTGCGGCCGCGGAGACATCGTCATCGTCACCCGCGGGGAAATGTTCTCGTTGATATCCGCGATCGCGGCAAAAGCGTAGGCCTAATCTTTCAATTTCGTTAGGGTGATCCTAACGGATATAAAAGCTTTTACTTTTAATTGTGCATTATTGTATTGAATATAATAATATAATATAATATTATTATTAATAATATAATATAATATAATATAATAATATAAGAAATCCTTTTTACAGTATTGAAGAGTTCCTAGAACAACCTGTGATAAGTCTGTAACTTTGTATCCAAATCTGTTAATTATTTCTATATAGTCTATTTTTGTTTTCTTCAACTTTGTTAATTGTTCATTTGTTAAATTGTTTTTAGTCTATTGTGATTGTTAACCCTGTAGTTAAAATGAATTTGTACAACATAGACTCATACCCAAGTTACCTCTGATTAGTTAGACAATGAACATTGAAATTTTATGTTCTGCTCCACTGACAATGTCAATGCATGTAAATGTCCATGATAATAAATGATTTGATTTGATTTGATTTGATTTTGATTTGATTTGAATGCTGAGAAAATCGGCTCGAGCTTGATTTTCTGACTTTGTGCTTGATCTCTCATGCTTGTAGTCCAGGCTCTGCTCGGCTCGAAAATCGACATTATAGGCCTATTATAAAAATCAACCGTTTCCAAAACAACCCGACTTTGAACCGATCTGATTTGGCCTCAGGCCCTTAGTAATATTTTTAGTGCGTTCAAGATCGGGTTGCTTTGGAAACGGTCGATTTTTAATAGGCCTACAATGTCGATAATGGCTGCAAGATCTATGATTGAAGATTGAACCCTAAAGCCGGGTTTTCCTAGGCGCGGAGTCGGCGAGCGGAGAGAGGAACGTGGAGAGCGGACTCCACTTGTCTTAGGCAATTATTTAATGTTACTGTTTTCCTATAAGCGGAGCGGAATGCCATGTTAATTTCAATTCCGCTCTTCGCGTTCCTCTCTCCGCTCTCCGCTTCCGCGCCTAGGAAAACCCACTGAGCTATAATAATAACGGAAAACCCAGCTTAAGCCTGCAGACTGCAGAGCAAACTGGAGGGAAAACAGTTTTCAAATCATTATGCTCATGCTCTGCTCACCCCAGAACGCACAATTTTTATTTCAGCTGCAGTTTTTTAGTACGGACAAGATGAGAGTTTAAAAATTAGAAATTAAAAAAAAAAATATTGTAGGCCTAAAACTAAAAAAAACATGTATAGTTAATTTTTTAAATTAAACTGTCATAACCTAACCTAACTAACCAAACTTGCTGATAATGACAAATTTGAATGAAGGTTTACTAATAGAAAAAATAATTCTGTTCATAAAATAAAACTATAAATGCCTCAAATTAAATTTTATATTTTTTAATTATAAAATTAAACTGTGATAACCTAACCAAACTAACCAAACTTGCTGATAATGAAAAAATTGAATGAAGGTTTACTAATCGAAAAAAGTTCTGTTCATAAAATAAAACTATAAATAGCTCAAATTCAATTTTATAAGGTTTTAATTATAAAATTTAACTGTTATAACCTAACAAAACTAACCAAACTTGCTGATAATGCAAAAATCTTAGACAAAAAGTTTGTGGCCCGATGGGCTTCGAACCTGGTACCATAAGTTTCAAAGCCCGGCACGCTGTCCACTAGACCACCGAGGCCGATGGCTTCTATTCGTTTCATTGCGCTAATGGTGTTCCCTCAGCCAATAGAATGCTCTCATTTTGTTCTTATTAAAATAACTGCAGCTGAAATAAAAATTGTGCCCCCAGTACTGCAGTGCAGTCTGCACTGTCTGTCTGCAGTCCGAGTCCCAGTCCAGTTAGTTAGTTGCAGTTTGTTTGAGTTTAGTTTCTGTCTGTTTAGTGTTTACATACAATACAATTTTACTAACCTTAAACTTAAAAATAAATTAATTTATATCTAATTAATGGAATGCACTAATTTGATGTGATGACAAAATGAATGGATCAAGCAGAGCACTAGTGCAGACCAGAATCCAGAATGTAAACGTAATAAATCATCACTTTAAACGACCGTAGTTCAGTTAATAGGCTACTTGTGACTAGGAGAAATATTTTCACCGTTATTTTCAGGTAAAAACCTAGTTTCTAGTGATGGAAAAAAATGGTTTGGTTAGTTTATAGGCCTGCTAAATTAAAAGTTAAGTAAGTTCTGCTCATTTAGGCCTAGTAGGGATGGCCGATTGTCGATAGTCCCTTACAATCGATTGTTCCGATAGTATCGAGAATAACAATCGATAGTGTAGATAGACAATCGACATTTTGATTTTAAGTACTACCATTGAGTAGCCTACCTACAAGTATACTCACGTGTATACTACTCAATGCTAAGTTACTACTTTAAAATCAAACTTAAATCAAGGAAATTGCATGAATGAAACAAATGCTTAATAATAACGTTGTTTATTAATAGCCTATGTATTATGGTAAAAACATTTTCGTATAGTTTATGTTTTTAAAATCAGCATTATAGAAATAAAAATTGCAAATGCTTTGTCGTTTTGCGTAAGAAAAGAACCACTTATTTTTAGTCTTCTTACTCATTATGTCTAGCTAATAAATTAGCTAACACGACTAAATTCTCTCACTATTCCTAAAAATAATACTTGACACATATTACCTAATTAATAATTAGCACAAATAAGATCACAGTGTAAGTTGTGTATTTGAGATTAGGTACTGGGGTACTTACTGGGTAGATAGATACTTTAATACTTTACAATAAAATGGCGACCTTACAAAGTAAGTATTTTAAGCCAAGTATGAATGGAGATGAGTGTAGAATGAGTGATAGTTAACGACACAGGAAGAACAACGCAACTTTGTTGGGTTAGGAAATTAGACCTTCTTGAAAGGAACACCAACAACCCCGCCCCTCCGCCACGCCAGAATACAATCGATTGTTGAAAAAAACTATCGATAGTTAAAAACAATCAATATTATCGATTGCACAATCTACAATCGGCCATCCCTAGGCTACCTAGACGGCCGTTGTTTAGACTATTACCTGTACTGTAACCGTTTCAGTTTAGTTCTTAGAATTTAAATGATTCACTAAGTTAAACAATTGGTGTGAATCTGCCAATAACTCACCCAATAAGTAGTGCACACACTTGTAAAAATCTATTGATGGCGCTAAGTTATTTCGGGAAAATAGGGCCACACATCGTAAAACATATATGGTCACTAGATAAAGGACATGTTAAGGCACACAACAGTATCAAGGTCATATAGGCTAGGCAGGCCTACCACAAACTAATTTTAGTTATACAAAATATGTAAAATTAGTAAAATGACAAACAGCTCTCCTAAATCTATTGATACCGTAGCCCTTTTGTGGAAATATACATCCACATAAAACCGGACCTACCTTTCCCCACATGCATTTAAGGCTGCAAACAATTTGTTCGGAAGTTGACTCGTTCAGAAAGATTTGTTTAGAATGAACCGTTCCAAATGAATCGATTCCATTGTGCATGGAGTCGAATATAAACAGCTATTTGCTGATGCCCACAGTCCACATACATACTTGCCCAAAACACCATATTACCATCCAAACCGCTCAGTGGACCTTAAATTCGTAGTTTTTAATTTCGTTTTATAGACACTTCTAGGTGTCTTTCTGTCAAAAACTGCTCGAGTGCATTTTTTTATTCAGTGTGCAAAGAACTGTAAGTAGGCCTATTTAAAAATAAAATGTTTAATCATTGTAACTACACGTTACCGTACATTAACCGTAGGCTAAATGATATCAAACAGTATTCATTTTGCTAAACTACCTAGGCCCTACACTCTAGCCATTAGACCTACATATATATTTTCTTCCAGATTTTTTCAATTATTTCTTGTCATAATCATTTTGTGTTTGGGCTCATTTGTCATGGAATTAAACATCAAATTTAGTTAGACAAAGCATTTAATTGTTTAAGTTATCCAAGTTAGCTTCCTATGAATCAATCGCGATTTTGAGGCATCATACAGCAGTTGTTATAAAATTCTATGTGGGGATTCGGACTTTTAGTCAACTAAGATAGTGGACAATGTGCGTGCTTGAGTCGGGTCACATGCAGGTAGGGCCGAGCTCCAGTCGCATTCCCTGAGTAAAAAGACTGTAAGTCTTATCATTGTTGTTGATATCTCTCTAAAACCACTTGTTAACTTTCAGTGAGTAAGCATTGTGACGCATGCCGGTTTAATATTGTCCCCGATCTGGTACTTTTTCTCTGATCAATCATACTTATGCATATAACTGGGAAAGATCTTTTACACTGTACTAAAATCATTAGATCTTTTTTTTATACACCTAATTGCAGGTACAATATTTAGCATTCTAATTTTGTTGTCAAATTAAATTGTGATCAGATGAAAGCAACATTTCTTTTCCATGGCAGTGTTTAAGATTTCTGGTTAGTCAGATAGTCTGTGATGTCTTGTTGAAATGAACTTTGCCTGCTTTAATGATGTTTTTGGACGTTGTGGGATGTACCTTCAGAATAGCCACAAAAAAAAATGAAATATAACATAATAGTGGCTTATTTACTGATTATTCTGCTATTTAAGGATATATGAATCCATGATTTACTAAACCCATTAATAACAATAGACTGTGTTAGGGGACCTATCTAATTGTGATAAAATAATTATTAATCCTAATTAACTAATGTTTTAGTACAATTAGGATTTATTTTATTTTTATTTATTTATTTAACATCATCACATTACTCAATTCTCTTGACAGGTGATTTGTCACAAGGATTAATATCCGTCCGAGAGCTGTTTCGGATAACCAATTTTCCGGTTAACCTGTCATATGCTAAAAATAGCCTATGTATTACCACAGTGTGCAGGAAAAATGAATTTAAAACTATGTCAATACAGGGTTTTATTTCAGCTTCAGAAATGTTACAATGAGTTAGGAAATACAAACTAAACTGAAGTTACTAAAGCATTTTATACTAAACGTATTTTACTTATAGTTTAGCCATGTATTATTTTATGGAACCGTTTCGGTTAACCGGGGTTCTACTGTAGTATTGACCTGGCTAAGTAACTTTGCTTTTGTTAGGTAAGATTGCATTGTTAGTTTCAACAATGTGAAATGGATTTTTTAATAAACAGACAAGGACAATAATAAATAATATTCCTTTAATAAGAAATTTTGACAAAGACGATAATTTGATGAGCTTAAAGATGGTTGACATTTTAATTTGTTTTATTTCAGATAGAGAAGATGGAGGAACAATTTTTGGTGTACTACTGCTCTGTTTGCAACGTTTGTAAACAGCCATCAGAGTCATCATCATGTATGAAGTTTTGTTCTGGATGTAAACTAGTGCAGTATTGCTGCAGCGAACATCAGAAGCAAGACTGGCGTCAACACAGGGAGCTCTGCAAAGGAATACAGCAGATAATGAGCAAGAAGCAGATGGCCCACGTGTATCAAGACGCGAAACATTACCTTCCAGATGATCTTCCCAAATGGAATGCACTGAGGATGTCTGTCGTAAAACTCGTCGAGATTACCCTCAACAGAAATTTAAACCATTTAGAAATGCAAATGTGTCTTTTCCCCCCAGTTTGTCAGTATTGTCACCTCTATAAAACCAATCAAATGATCACTTGTTCCGAATGTAAATCCTTGATGTATTGCAGTGAAGACCATCAAGAAAAAGATGTGGAACATCGCAGTATCTGTAAACTTTTTCGTCTCAGTTTTGATGCCGATATGTTACGATATCGGGAACAAACGACACTGTATGAGTGTTTTGATTTTTCATATCCAAGCAGCCAAATTAAGGGTTTTCCTGAGAACATGGAAGCGTTAATAAAGTTATTATTTCCAGCTTTAACTACTAAAGAAGTGTGTATTAGCGAAATGCTGTCTTTTTATATGACTTTATTTTACGTAATTTCTAAAATTGCCAAAATGACGAGTAACAAACTCACGGTACATGTTGTTGGGGCTGATGCTATGGAGTTAGTGGCAGTTCAGACGATTCCTCTTATTCATCAGTTGATCTCACATGTTACTCATTTAAATATTGTTCTTGTTGGGCCGAGTGTCGACACTTGCGATTTTATTCCTCTGTGTTCAGAAGTAAGTAATGTCAACGTGTCATCTGTTTGTATGTTGTACCATGAATATGTAGCCAACCCAAAATTTGTCACACCAAACATTATAGCTGCTTTAAACTGCGGTTTCTGTGAGTTTGAAGCAAATGAAGAAAAAGACACATGGAAGGATTCTTTGTGTTCCATTTTGAGTTTTAGTAATACTTTTGTACTTATAACATCATACACCAAGAAAGAATCTGAAACTGATTTACAAAAATTGCTCAGGGCAAAATGTAAGGACATGGACTGTCAAACAATTGTAGAGTGCCAAGAGAATCCATTTAGTAGCTTGTGTCCTCAAAGGGATTGGGAAAATCAAGGAGTTTACTATGTAAACAAATTTATATCAGTTTTAAAAGTCTAACAATTGTTAGACTTTATGGGTGAATACGAGCTGCTATACCTGTGGTTGGCAACGGAAGGAATACGGGCGTTCGCAAAAGAGAAAATGCCGTTTTTTAAATCTGCTGTATGATATAGTTACAAATCTATTATTTAATTTAGAACACCTATTTTACTATAATTAGTATTCAATTCATCCATATATAAATCCCAAAGTACCCATGAACTTTTGAGAAAACTACAAGTCACACCCCCATAAACCATATAGCCTACTTAAAATGTTTGTCATGACGAGAAACTTTGCGCAAAACTATCTATAAATTGCCCTTTAAGATCGTAATTCCTTCTAAAGGGAACTTCCCATATACCTAATGTAAAATATACCCCAGCTGTTTGTTATTCTTTCAATTTATTACCTTATTAAAATCAGCTGTGATTATTTTGTTTGTATTACTGTATCCTGTTTTGTTTATTTCAGCTTAACTTAACCAATCAATAGTTTTATTAATAGGCCTACTTATGAAGTCAAACGGGGAGAAGCCCGTGGTAACAGCAAGTTTCTTTGAATTCAGATCAGCGGTTCAAGTGCTCTAGGTAATCAAAGTACAGCACAAAAGTAGCCCTGATGTGTGTTTGAAAATAATTTAACTCTTTGATTTAATTTGAAAAGATAAACATATTTATGCACATTTAATGAAATGGCAAACATGCGCTAGCAGTCGGCAGGAGCAGACACACTTCTCGCTCGCTGCTTATAGAAACGCTGAGGGAATACAGTTTAAGGGTTGAAGTTTTATGCTTGTGTATTTACTCTGGATTGTAACTACTTTATTACATTATATTCAAACGAGTTCTCGGACCAGCATGATCGGACCACAGATCTTCTTTACCCATAGCTCTTTACCATCCGCCACTAAATAAAATTTGCTCAGTTAGTTCCTATGAGAATTTTACAACTGCATGTAAACCACATTACTGCTGAGAGGCTTTTTTTAATCAATTACATTGTTCAATTAGAGATTTTTAATTGGAATCCTTTGTATAATGTTGGTGATGTAAATGTAGCTGTAGATATTTATTTGTTTTTATTTTCAATAATTGATCAATGTGTTGGTAAGTATAATTTTGTCCGAAAAAGTAAATATCCTGTTTAGTTTACAAAGGATATAAATGATTCTATTAAGCTTAAAACAAGTATGCTAAAAAACTAAAGTTTTCAAACTACCATAATGCATTGTTTAGAACTGTAAGATCGTACAATTTGATGTTTGTTGAGAGAGTTGTATAAATGTAAACACTACTTCTTTTTGGAACTATGTCAAGTCCAAGAATCATTTATCTAGTTTTGAATTAGAGTCTTCTGTTATGAACTACATGAATGTAAATGTTCCTGTGGACAAGGTAGCTGAAACATTTGCAACTCATTTTGGCTCAGTATTAAATAAAGACAACTTAATTATTCTAACTTCATTCAAGACTCTTAAAAAGTAGTAAACACATTCATTTTTTTATTCCTGAAGTTCAGTTGGCAATCAAATATTTTAAATCGAAAAAGTCATCAGGTCCTGACAATATTCCCTCATACATTGTCAAAGGGTGTGCGGAAGGTCTCTTCTCTCAACCACTTTACTTTGCTATGTATTTAATTTATCCATGTCATCAAGTTTTTCCCCAAAAAATGCATGAAATAAGCCAAGGTCGTCCCAATACACAAATTAGGTGAAATAGGCCATATTGAGAGCATTATCGTCAAATATCCTTTAAAAAATTCCTTTGTAAAGGTTTTTGAGACCTTGCCATTTGCCAAGATTGTCAATTTGATGTTTTATACTTGCACACTGTTTAAATTTCACTTGTTACAGTCTTACATGTCCACAATAATAATATTTTTTTTCTGACAAAATTAAACAGTTTTAAAGATAAATGCTTTGCTTAGGTAATGTAATTTTTATTTTAGATTTGCAGCCGAGTTAAGTAAATTTTCTAAAACTTTGTCCATTGTTATTTAATAGTATTCACTCTTTTTAACTGGCTATTATATATCACTATTTGTAAATTGTAATTTTATGTGCACATTTTGTATTTTCCCCTTTATGTATTAATATTCTATTATTTGTCATTATTGCTGTTTTGGGTTTTATACCTGTAGCTATTGTAAATTGTTTAAATAAATAAATAAGTGTTGAACTAATCTATATATTAATAGGCAAGCATGTTTCTTTAATAACCTTTTTTCTCAACTCGTGTGCATCATAGGGAAAATCTATGCATACTGTTTAAAAGATATTTGTATGTAGATATAAAGCTACACGCCATCTTAATTAAAAACCGAGCCATATTACGTAAAATCACTGAGAAAATAGACTAGGGATAGGTTGTTGATTAAAGGACATTACAACTTTTGTTGACAAGTAATTACAAATAGGCTATATTGAGTGAATTAAAGAGAAATGTGAACGTACTAAATACTTCGCCAAATCACGAGGCAAATAAACATAAATTGAGTCAAACAAGTAATCACAGTTTTCTTATACTAAGTTCAACCTATGTCTTGTCCAGAGCCAATTCGATATATTCTCGCATGAATCGGTTTCCAGTGCATTGACTAGCAAACTAGCAATTAGACCTGAAATCTTATCTTCTGATCTTCATTTCATTACTTTTCATCCACAATGATAGGAAAGTGAAAAGGCAAGGCTTTATTTCAATATTTGGAGTGTATTTTTTTCCCTGTTAGTAAAGCACTGCATGTAGTGTATGTTCAAAAAAGTGAGAGAATAATGGGTTTACAATATTTATTTGTCATAGCGGACAAAATAATTTAATTGCCGTTCAGTAAGGTGTAGCAGAGTTTAGTTAAAAACATGTGAGTACTTAATTTTAATTTTATGCTTTAAAATATCTAGTAAGCTTGAAGCCATGTTTACACTGGAGTTGCACTAACATGCTTAACAAATTCAATTCAATTCAATTCAAATTCTCTTTATTCATTAACAGTACAAATTTTTATACAATGAATAGCGTCAAATAAATATAAAGATGAATCATGCCTTACTTATCGCTAAAACAATCATTATCTCTACAAAACAAATGCTAAGCCTAAGAAGAATAAACAAAACAAAATTAAATGAAATTATCTTTCTAAACTATCATTATTTATGATATTCTGTTGTCTGAAATCTGTTGTCAATACAAATTGAACAAGTGCTGTAAAGAGATGTTTACAACTTCTTTAGGAAATTGTATATTTCAATACTAGGACCGAAAGTGGCATTTTTCGGCGTGCGCTCTAGTTTTTTTTCAATTTCAAGTTCAATTTGGCTTCGCCTCACACAAGAAACCCCAATTTCACGAGCGAGGCGAAGCCGAGTATGTGAGAGCTATTTTCACGTACGAGGCAAGGCCGAGGACGGGAATAATGGAGCAAGTGCCGGAAAATTACTCGTGGTACGAGTTATGAACGATACTTTTCATTACAACGCAAAAATACACAAACACAGAATAACAGACCTCAGTAATATTACAACTAATTTATTTCTCAATTATTTTGTTTAAACATCAAAATAAAATAAAATCTAAAAGGAAACCTATGTATTTTTTTCGAATAATTTTGTAAACATCAAAATAAAAGAATAAAACAACTTTTTACAATACATACAGCTGATTCAAATCATTAAATTAAACTGTAACAAAACACTAGCGTGCGTAGTGAGTAAATAAATAACTAATCGAGAGCAAGGAAAGTAAATTTAGAGAGAGGGAAAATCAGCTGATTGATTTTCCCTCGCCCTAAATTAGAGCTTGGGAAACAACTACTTTCATTGATGTCAGCTGTTATCAAAAATAGTTACTTTCGTTACGGAGTGATGAAAATAAAATTTCTCTCGTGAATACAAGTACTGAAAGTGAAAACATGTTAATAATTTCAACAAATTATACTACAGTTGGTGTTTTCATCAAGGTAGCTACAGTAGACTCCCTCTTATCCGGACACCTTCTAACCGGACTACACTCGGCGGAAATGACATCTCTTTAACCGGACAATTTTTATCAGCACATTGGCTTAAACGGACTAGATCGGCAGGAAGTGGGCGGTACTGAAACGTTTGTTCTCGTGGGAAAGATTTGAGACCAGTGATCACGTGTCTAAATACAATGCTCTCATAAATTTATTTAGAATATCACAGTAAACGGTCCGTTTTAACGAGTTTTAGGGGACGTTAGTTTAACCGGAAAACCCGTTATCCGGACTGGCCTCGGTCCCGAGGAATCCGGATAAGAGGGAGTCTACTCTAGTTCAATTCCAGGTGGTTTCCATTTAAAAGCTATCTGCAAAATTTTTTCCTTGGGCTATCAGCTATCTATCAAAAGGTGGACATTAGATTGTAGTGAGACCAGCGTTTGGACAGTTCCCGTGAAAATTTTTAAATAAATGCCACGGGCATTATATATAGGCTTTGTATATATACAGTAGAACCCCTTATTCCACCATGGTCGGAACGGCCAACTGTTCAGATATCGATTGGAGAAATGAAAATTCTTTACAACTAATCAATTAAACCATACATCTAATTAAATATACCGCCGCATCTGTAACCGATTCACTGATCATGTACCAGTAGGCCTATACAAATTTAAACATATTTTCTAGAAGTTGTGCTAGAGATCTGAAATTTGGCACGATTGTAGGGCTTGGTCCTAATTGACACTGAAAACCCAAAAAGTTCAGTAAAATTTATAAATCTTAACCCCCCAAAATAATTCAAAATGTTGGATTTTTTATTATTAAAAAATGAGTTTTTTAAACCCTTGTGTCCAAACCGTCTTTTTAATCAAAAGATTGAGAGCACTTAGAGGTGGTTCATAGCTCGGGATTACATAGTCCGCGACTATACGATAAGACCGTATAAGCGTTGCCTAAAAAATTGATATTTTTTTGGATTTTCTCTGTAACCAACAATTGTAAAAAAAACATGAGCATATTGCATAGTGGTTATATTTCTTTCCGACTCATGTGAAACATAATTTTTCACTCAGGACACCAGCTACAAACTCAATAGCATCATTCCTTCTGTTGGCGTCAGTGTTTCAAAACACCCATGGTTACTCGGACGGAGCGCCTGAAGAGGTTTGCGAAACATTGATTCCGAGGCATTTAAAACCACCACAGAACACAACTTCACCTTACAGAATAGAACTCAGTACCTACGAGATGAGTAGTAACCACATCAAGTACAATCCGATCGGAGGAAATCAAATGATGAACTTGACGCTCACCGGTCACCAAGCATTCAAAGGATTCATCATACAGGCCCGCATGAATGACAGAGTAGTTGGGAGGTTTGAGCCTACTCCAAAATACTACCAGATGTTGGACTGCTGTGATGGAGTTGAGGTCAGTAATCAGTAAATATTTGAACTTTGAAGTGTGCAAAAAACATGGGTTTTAGACCATAATTATGATTAAAAAGTTTGACATTGACAACAACAATTAGAATTTTTAACTAAGCTAAACTATGACTCTGAGAGTGAGTTTGTTATACAACCCTTGTTGTCAGATTAGATGTATTTAAAAAATGTTATCTTAGCAGTTTACGTGAAAACCTCAAGTTTTTATAACATATTCTTAAATTTCTGTATAAAATATGTGTTACCAGGATTCAAAAGACTATAAGCATAACGTACTGAAATGTGTACATTAAATTGGCTCAGATATCACCCTGCATCAGGCAAGATTAAAGTAAAATTTATAGCGGATAGGTGCTCTTAAATCATTCGTTCATTTAAAAAAGAGGTAGTGGCACCACTATTTTTTCATATATACGCAAGAAAATTCTAAAAGCTAAACTTAGTATAGTTTGTCATTCATGAATGTAAACAGCAATGGTAGTTGTTATCATGCGTTGTTCATGTTATATGTGGGGCAAGTGTTGTTATTTATTATCATGCAAGTCAGAAAGTGTAAATAGCCATCAAACGTTAACTTCATTATCATTATAAGATGGGGATGCCACCTAGGTGCATATTTTAACCCAAATATGGGTGGAGGATGAGTGTAGAATGTTGTTAGAGTCACCATGGATTGTTTTTATTTTACAGAACACTGCAACTCATATAGAGAATGATGTAAAATCTGAAGTGGTATTCAAATGGGTTCCACCGACCAAAGTTGCTGGAAAAGTCTGGTTTTAGTAAGTTATTTACCATTTTCAATATGTATTTATATAATTTACTAGTGGCCTGTAGGGGCCATAGCCCCTAATTTAGACTACTGAACAATAAAAAACCATACCGGTTATATAAAAAGATAAATATTCGAAATATGTTTTTAAAATTATCAATTTTATGTTGCAAAACGTGCACACGGTTTCGCCTGAGCCCGACGAATCAGAGCTGAAATCATACAGCCAAACATTGCACATCTTTTCTAGTTTAAAATTGAAGATTTGTTTTGTAATCTTACGAATTCTGTTATAGTTTCCATTTTGAGAACCAATAAAATGTAAAGGTTTAAATTATTATTATTATGAAGGAAATTCCCCATTTCGCGCGGTAGTAAGTCAGAAATATATCTATGAAATTGTCCCTGAATTTTAAGACAGTAAGGCCCATTTCCCGGAATCTCTTTTTGTGTAGGTGAAAGCGACGCAAAAGCCATTGCACTGTTGTATAGCCTTATGTTTTTTATGAAGTTCGAATCATGTAAAAACAGTTCTTTTAGTTCGTCATTTACTTGTGGCTGTGGCATGTCCAGTGTGGCAACATGCGTTGAAATGTCCATTTGTGGCCTCCTCTGCGAAGTGAAATGCGCCACAGTGCATGCAATATTGCTTTAAGAGGACCTAGATTGTGAGAAACAACACTCAACTCATTTTCCAGCGTTCTTCTTAAGACAGGTTGTAAAACAGCTTCTGGATTTCTTTCACAGTTAGGCCCTACCGACGTTCTCTTTTGCATTTCTTAAGTCTGTTGAATTCCTGGACACTCTTCCACATCTTGCAGGTCTTCTCCTACCCTGTCTAGTTACTTCACTCATTATAAAAACGGAAAACAGGAAAACAAAAAAATTAAACACAATTCATTTTGAAACATTGTTTACCAACATTGACTTTCGGAATAAATGTAAACATTGCAAATAAATAAGTAACAGCTGATAGAATGCAGACGTTTTTCAGTCCCCATGCATTTCTTATGCTGGATATTTTACGTTATATCTCGTTTTCTGGTAACTTTATGGGAATTCTGCTATTTTTCCCGAGTCCCTGGGGTCAATACCTTTAATTTAAGACCCTCCCACTTTTCTGCGACTTACCAGACGTCCACAATTTTCTGGTAAAAATTTTGTCTTACAGAATTATAGACGGTTTCGCTGTAACTTTATAACTACAGTTCTTCTTCTTGTCATTAACTGTCTAGACAGATTATTTAGTTGAATTCTATTCTACAAGGTAATTCCAAATGAGTTACAAACACTTTTGGTTTAATTTCAAAGAGTGATATTGTGATTAATATCATGTTACGAGGGTCATTTTTGAAGTTCTGGCCATTTGTCTGTATTATTTCATAGTTCCCATGGACGCTACAACAAGGCGGTAAAAATTTGTTTTTGACCCTCAAAACATAAAAGTTTTGCCATCTCTTTCTACCAAAATTTGTTGAATTAATAAAAGTATATTGAATTGCGTTGTTGCACAATCAATGGTTGGGCACAGAGATCATACATATATTTAAATTTAAATTTCCATGTTTTTCTTAAGCCTGGTAATTAAGTCTAGTTAATAAATTAACTGTTGCAGTTTGCTTATATATGGATATATTTTGATAAAATCTAACAAATTTATTTCATAGTAAGCTATTGACATTTTACCAAAAACCCACTTTACCGTCTTCCCTGAATCAGCAAAACTTGGTACTCCTTAAATCATCCAATTTTGTTTGGATAGGGACTAAATTTGACATATTTTACGGCTTATTTAAGTGAAAATCCAATTAGCCAAATGGAAATCGCTGTAGTCTGTAGCATGAATCTACCCGTAGTATGACTGATATTGGTTTTATCAGCTCAGCCTTGGTCAGTTACATACATGTTATACCATTTACCTCCTAGAGTCTACCAGTGAATGGGTTTAACAAAAATATCAGATGTTTGTTAGTTAACCAAACAAATGTAACTGTTTACAAACATAAACAGCTCAATAAAATAAAGGTTATAAAAAATTTCAATGTGTTGTCTTTTTCTTAGGTTATATGTAAGCTTAATCTTTTAAACAGATTTTAGCAAAATTGTAGATGTATAAATTACAATACCTAACATTTTAAATATTCAAACTGGGCTACTATAATGATTCACGATCAAACAAAAACTAATTCTTTCTACTTCTTGAAATATTACCAATGATTCCAGGTATCACAAGTAAAAACATCACAAGCTATAAAAATACTAATTGTATACATAGTGCAGACAGTTTTAAAACCAAATCTTCGTTTGAGACCAAAAGTGACATTTATAAGCAAATCAGTGTCTCTTCTTCTACCTCGAGTCAAAGCAAGACTTCGACACTTTTATCTACTCAAAAAATAGGTGATTTAAGAACAAATTTAAGACAGACCAAATTTTTAAATGCAAATGTCAAATTATTGGTCATGGAAGAGGGTGCCTCAATTACTTTGTCCACAGAGTGTAATTCAAAGGGCTCCTTCTTATCCTGTAATAGTAAATTGGTTGAAGAAAAGGAAAACTTACCTGAGTTTATAGATCCTTTAAGGCTGTTCAGTAAAAGTGGTAAACCTCTGACAGATCAAAAAGGTCGACCATTGGCAAATATTTTCGGTGAAAAATTAGTAATTTTTGATGATGAGGGCAAAGTTGTGTCTGATTTAAGAGGGAATCAAGTGTTCAACTGTCTTGGAGAGTCTGCAATTTATCCCAGTACAAACCTAAACATTCCTCCTTCTGATAATGAACCTGATATACCTTTGTTGGACATTGGTCGAGGTAACATTCTGTTTCTTTATGATAATACTGGTCATCCTCTGACGGACTGTTTTGGACGACCACTCCTCTACGCTTCAGGCAAACCTATGATAGGTATGAGAGCAAAAGATAAAGTAGACATTAGTAACCATGAAGGACATAGCTTAAAGAAGATTTACAGTAGGAAACCTCTAGAGAATTTAATAAGGCATGTTCAAATTTTCAACTCAACCGGAAAGCCTTTAACAGATGGCTGTGGAAGACTACTTGAGGACGCTTCAATTATCTGTAACAAGAACGGAATGCCAATGTGCACCAGTAATAGTCAACCTCTTTATTTCAAGTATGGAAATAAAATTGCATTAGCCAAAAGAAAAAATATAAATATGGATAACATTGAAGAAAACGTAAAGCTTGAGTCTGAATTTTTACAATTAAGTGATAGTAGAGCTGACCTGACGAGTATGGCAATAGAGAAAAGTTTTGATGGAATTGGAAAAGACAAAGACGAACAGAAAGTTGGAAAAGTAAAGTTTGCTGATGGATTCATGAGTGATAGGTTTGTAAAATACTCCAACGAGAATGATATCCTCGGTTCTGTCGACTTTGAAAACCCAGATTTGAGCAATGACTCGAAAACTACTCTTTTATCCACTGTTGAAAATAATGTTGACAAAAACTTAGAAAATAAAAATGAAACAATACATATTACTGATACTCCCAAAACAGAAAATATGGCTGATATATTGGAGAAACAAGAAAACCAAAGCAAACCATTGCTCAGAGAAACTTCTGGGAGTCAAAAATTCACTACAGAGCAAAATGTAATTGTTTTACCTCCTGACGCATCTGAAAACTTGCCAGAAAATAAAACTGAAGACAAGCTAGATCATAAAACAAATCTTAAGAAAGAGTCAACAAATACGGTATTTCTATTTAATGCCACAGAAAAAATAAAGAATACTTCTTCAGTCCATGTGGCACATTTTGAAGCAATCAAAGAAGAGCAATCAAGATTTAAAAGTAAGTCGCCAAAAAAAATGTATTCATTAAACCTGTTTCAGTTTTTCAAAGACTCACTTTCAAAAACAAGTGAGAAGCAGTGTATGGAGCCTTATCAATACAATGAATATGGGAAACCGTTAAAAGATATCCATGGCAACTTTCTGTATGATCGCCATGGAATACCCTTGACTGGAGCGCATGGCAGAAGACTAGGTGATAAAGCTAGACAAACTTTGAGGTCCAAATTAAGAAACGTTCCAAAAAAGAAAGTAAATATACCTTCTAGGGATAAATTTCTTTCACTCTCTCACAATGAATCCCATGATGAGTTTGGAGAACCGGTATATGATAAATATGGACGTCCTCTGTATGATCTTGCTGGAATGCTTATTTATGATAAGTTTGGCCGTCCATTGACTGATGCTTATGGAAGATCCTTAGTAGATGCGATTGGTCAGCCATTGATGGATTGTGAAGGAAGAGTTCTGACATCAGCAGATGAATCGTATTCAAACACAAAACTAGTAGATATTTTCGGGAGAAAGATATATGACAGACGTGGAAGAATGCTTTTTGATTCCTTTGGTAGACCGAAGTATGATATTTTCACAAATGCAATATACGATAACTGCGGGCGTCCCACAACAGATGCTAATGGTAGAATACTCTTTGACTTTTTGAACAAACCCATTCAGCCTTTCTCTGAAAAACCTCTTTACAAAAACGTAAGATCACATTTACCAAAACATATAGACACTATTTTAGCAGTACCTAGCGTGTACCGTTTACTTAAATACTCCCAACCACTGAAAGATGCCTTCGGTGGTCCTCTGTTTGATGATTTGGGACGACCACTATACAACAAGATCGGCATGCCTCTTTTTGACCGGTACGGACGCCCGTTGTACAAAAGCGACGGAACACCATTGTGTGATTGTTATGGACGTCCGTTATCTGAAGATGTCAGAGAAAGTGACGACGATCAAACACTAAGTGTTGTAGATTGTTTGAAACTGCTCAAGGTGACTGACGAGTCCTCTAAATGGATGTTTAGTAAGAATAAAGGGTTTAAACCTGAGCAATCTGAGGTGTCAAATGTTGTGGAAGTTTGTTGCAAGAGGAGGTGTGGACAGTACGTGTACACCCTGACCAGAGTGACGAGGTTTGCCAGCGGACGACAGGCATTAGAGATTCTCGAGGCTCCACTATCTCAAGCCACAGTAGCTGAGATGCACCAGCTTCCGGTCGACAACAAACCTCTGGTCTTAATGGTCGGACAGAAACATAAGACGACTGTCAAACAATAAAATATTGGTGATTTTTACCTTCTCATCAATTAGATTGAAAAATTAATTAATTCTCAATTCTCTTGATAGGCATGGGAAACACTTGCTAAAACTTCAAGGACAGTGGTTTTGTAAGAGATAACCTTGCATAAATCAACCATCAGGCGAATTTCCACAAAAATGTAATCGCACCAAACTGAACTGGCTTATGCGAGTTATGTATCTTACCAAATCTTTAACCTTGTAGTTTTTTGCAACATCCACTCTATAGGTACACACATACTAAAACCCCAAAAGAATGCTGGTTAAGACTTACCTATTGTTTATGTATATCATAACATTGTTTTGCAACTGGATAATTTACTCATGGTCTTCAGGACCTAATATTGGCAAAATACATGCTGGATGACCATGTGACACAAACATAAAGCGAACCTCAATAACAAGACCTTAAATAGCATGTAAATCTCAATAAGTGCCTATTTTTCATAGCCTTATTTTGTATAATGCTTCTAATCACATGTTACTGCAAAACTTGATAAGAAGTACAGTATACCTTAATTACAAGTCTTAATATTAATCACCATATAGCATTCTTATATATAATTCATTCCGGTATGTTTTTTCTTGATGATCTTATATATCACTAGCTGTACCCGCGGGCTTTGCCCCGTTTAACTTCATAAGTATTCGCATGGCTCAATCACGTCCTGGTTGAAGTTCGTTTGCTACACTCACTCACCTTTAGGTTGAAGCTCGTTCGCTGCGCTCACTTGCTTTCAGGTTAGCTCGTTCGCTACGCTAACTCGTCTCCAGGTTGAAGTTTGTTCGCTACGCTCAATCACCTTTTGGTTGCAAATTAGCTGTTGTCATAAATTAAAAAAAAAATTATATTGCTGCACCCTGTTGGTAATCCTTGTAACTTTAATGCTATTGAACATCATAGAACAGAACCAACATGTTTAATTGAAACAGCTGTTAAGATTCATTAATTACTTTTAAATATGAAAAATCATAAGGTTAACATGGGAAACTCCAGAGCCACTGGGGCGGAGCCCGAAAGCCCGATCAGAATAAAAACTACTTAGTTTTCCTATTTAATGCCCAAAGAATCGGTGTACAGAATTTCAGCCTAGGTAAATGGGAAGTGGGAGAATTAGTGATGAGTAGTGAGTGAGTGAGTCAGTGAGGGCTTTGCCTTTTATATATTTAGATTAGATACGTGAAGGAGTTTTCTACGATACACTACTCCTCCGTTAATAATGGACGGATTTTTACAAACAAAGTGTCAAAATTAAGTAATTTTTGTGTATACCCTTTCTCCTATTCCTGTAATAAAAGTCCTCGGGCTTTGCCTCACAGGCCATCAAAATCCCAATGTATCTCTTATGAAGAAAAATTTACTAACCCAGCTGTTATGCTTCATTCTGCTATTTAATTAAATTTGTTTATTATGAAGATTTGTTTCTTGGTGCCATATGGTCAATGAATTACACTTTTGCATATATTGCAATACACTATATAAAGTGATAGTAAAACATTAAGAAGTATGCATTTAAATAATTAATAAGTACGATTGATCTTTCCATATATGTTTCATGGTAAGTTTGTTGTAACTGTTTCTTACGTAGGTTTAAAAAACCTAATTATTCTTTTCTTCATTCTCACCCCGTAGCGAAGCACGTGCAAAGCAACTAGTCTAATGTATTTACAGGAACTGAAACAAGCTAAATCCAAAGGAATTAATCACACACATACTATGACTCCCTTTGAAAAAAATTTTTAACTTATTCCATCAGGTATTTGGATGAAAGATCGAGTTTGTATAACCTCTGATCAAGTCAGTTATACAGTTTTAATGAATACTGGAGTGGTCTAAGCAGAATGGCTTTATTCTAATCATGTTGTTTCATCGGATCGGGAACACAGAGTAGTCAGCAGAGACCTTGAGACGTGAGTTATTAGTCCACACGTGGCTAGTGGGCAGCTGTGCTGTACTACGGAAGGCTGACTTCCTTACTTTCACAAAATACTGATCCAAACAAATCTAGCGGCTTTGGCTGCAGTCAAAGAAGAGTATATACATAAATTATACAGTTATAGTTATGCACTGAGTATGTGTTTCTACACCTAACCTTATCCAGAAATTTACAACTTAGGAATCGCAGTGTCAATGTTTTTTTATTTCTAAAAAAATAGGTTATTTGAACGTTATATTTGTCAGCATTTATTATTGAAGACTCTGGTTTTTAGCGAATTTCTTTATAGGGAAGTAGCTATTACTGTAGGTGGCACGGTAAGACCTAGACCCGGGACAGATATCCTTTTTAATTGTGATGTCCCAGAGGCAAAAAATTTTATTCGTTCAAATTTGTGTATAATATGTCAGTAAACTGGATAACTTGAGCAATTTTTGTCCAATTTTGATTAAATTTCGCTTGAAGATGTAGGGGGGGATAAACTTGAATTAGTTTTGGTAACCAGCACAATCGGACCATGGGAACGAGTTTTTTTTTTGGGGGGGGGGGGGGGGTAAAATTGGTTTTTCTTATTTTTGACCCTTAAAACATAAAATTTCTTAATTTCTCTTTGCACCATTTTAAAGAGCTTAAAAAAATTACTTAGTATATTGAACTGTTTTTTAAAGGGTTTGGTTAAAGAGAAAATTCAAAGAATTCTTAATTTTTTATCTCTATTTTATTTTTAAGGAGAATAAGCAAACTGATGAAGTTTGTTTGTTTATGGATATATTTTGACCAAACTTGGAAAATATATTTATTTTATACTAAGCTATTAATATTTTATAAAAAACACACTTGATTACCCTCCCTGTAGCAGCAAATCTCTGTTAAATCTAATATTATTTAAATAAATTTAATTAAAAACCCAATCAGGCTAATGGACACTCGCTTAGTCTGCAGGTTTGCTGCAGCAGGAGTATTTATTATTCTAGTTGACAGTAACTGTTCATATTCATGTTTAATTAATTTTATTCTTGGATGAATTTAATACTTGTGCCGTCTTGATCATATCGTTTAAATTTTTACTTTGCATTCATTTAATGTTTTTCTTTTAGAGGGCAAACCCCAAACCCTGATATTTTAATATTTAATGTCTACCAGCTACTTGTATACATAAAATTGATCAAACATTAACTTAGTAATTGTATAGTTGTATCTTTATTTTACCAATATAATTAATAGTTACAAACCAAATACACGGCCATGCTCTTATTTCAGCTGGTAAATAAAAAAGCTTAATGATTTAGTTCTCTCAACGATGTACAATGGTGATTTTCATTTAACTTAAATATATTTTTTAATATTCAAATACATATAGGTGTTCTTCAATTTTCAAAAGAAATCTTCGATTCTACCCCGGATATTATCATACTTTTTAGAGTTTATACGAATTTTGTGTAGAAGAGTCTGCATATAATAGGTAGAAAGGTTGAGACTTAAGAGTCCATTGTCTCCTATACCAGGTGGCAGTGACACATTGTTGGATGATATATCAGCTGTTACATACAGTCAGCTGGTTGGACCGGTTGGATGACGTTTCGCAACAGTGTGTTACTCACGTGACTTACCTTACCTCAATTCGATGAACTCTAGACTGATACGTTCTATCCTTATTTACGTATATTATTTTCCTCTGTAAGTTTCTATTTCTTAAATGAAAATATTGTATAGGTTTTGATAATACAATACTTCTGCAGGATATTAACAGTCTGTTTAAATTTATCCCAAGATAGCAAAGCTTTTTATATTCATTTCGTTGCGTTTGTAACTTATTTATTTAATGAATTAATCTTGTTGTATTCTTGTTCATTGTTATTGCATGCCATTTCACTTAGTGTACATGTCAAACTCAATAAAAATTGTCAAAAATAAACATAAAAAAATAGATAAAACTAAACAGTACATCTTTTGTAGTGTTAGGTAGAGGTACTTAGGCGATATGTTTTTAATTAGGTCCATAACTACTATTATTGGTGCCTCTGTCAATTAGGTTTGTGTTTGTGTTGAAAAAACAAATGTATAGAAGCATAGATTAAACATGTTTAATCTATGATAGAAGTTGTTACTGTTTTTTGTTTTTTTTTTCAGAACCATCTACATTAATCAACCGATTTCATCATTTGGTGTCAACTATCAATTTACTTGATTTATTTTAACTTGGTATAAGCTTAAGGTGTAGTTTAATGTTATAAATATATGTCAAGCAGCGTACAATAGTTATTTGTGCAACTAGTGAGAAAAGTGAACAATTGACTCACTCGAGAGAAATCCTTACTCACGAGCCGTAGGCGAGTGAGGAATGGTTTCTCGAGTGAGGCAATTGTACTTTGAACTCGAGTTGCACATTATACTTTTCCTACAGTTACCATAAAACAAATAAGTTGGTGAAGAAACATAACCTATTTTTACACAGAAGTGAACTTTTAATAAAACATTTAACGTGAAGTGACAAATACAACAGTACAACAGCTGACCAGCTGATTTACAGCCAGTGCTGCCAACGTATTTCGCGCGCATACGACGTTGCCTGCATGTTACGCGCTCACTATTTCGTGCCTTCACGTTGCAAATCTGGAGTGAGACAAAGTAATTAGGGTGAGACAATGTTAACATTGTCTCACTGATGAGCGAATTGGCCACTTTGCTTTCTCAAATCAGTGAGAGAACATGTACATTGTTAAGTAACTGTAGGAAAATATATTACTTGCTGAACTTTTAATTTTATATGCAACTATATTTGATCTAAACTAATATTATTTGTTTCAGTGCCAGTGTTGTCAGAAACTTCGACATTTACTGGATCGACATCACATCTGACCCATTGGAGTTAACAATGCCAGATGCAAATAAATAATAATAGAAAAAATTGTGTGTACCGACTTATTTTATGTAATTTTCCTGAGTACCCTAAATCCTAGTTTGGCAAATCCGACATATTAATCCTCTAGATAAACAGTTTTATCTAATATTCAAACTATAGTTCGGCCGCTTAGAAAGCGACCTCCTCCAGCATTGGTTTAGCATTAGCGCGCAGGTTGTTTTCTAAGCGGCCGAACTATAGACTTATTTTCACAGGACTGCTAAAAATTAATAAAATGGTGTCCTGACATCTGTTATGAAAAATTCAAAGGATTTAAAATTGTTCTTTTATTTGACTTAACGTAGAAGGATTTTTGGATTGATATTATGTTAAAAGTTCTAAGGTACAAAAATCTGTTAAATTTAATATTTGAGGAAAACGATGATTAGAACACTAACACACAAATAAAAATAGTATATTTCATAACAAGACTAGAGAGTGAGTTTAAGACCATGTTTGAAGTGCGAGATTTAATGAGCACTTTAAATGGTCGAGAATATGCATACAGTAGAACCATTTTCCCCTCATGTTTTGAACGTTACTTTTCGCTACACTATACAACAAAGACTAATTATTTTCTTAATTAAAACAATGGATTTCTTTTTACAATGCATTTCTACAACGTTTAAATAACTTTTATGTAGAGATCAGATCATGATCACACTTATACAAAGATAAATTAATACAACATACTCATAAATTATCCTGGGTTTAACCATGCTGGCATCTTAAGTAAACATTATACAAGATCGTTAGGTCAATAAATTTGAACATGAGCTTTGAAGGCCAACAAACAATTGTCGCAAGCCCTGCCTCGGCTAAGCGCTGCGTCAGTACAGTATTCAGCGCTGGACAACATATTTATACAGTATGGGATGTTTTTCAAACTCGTTGGACGTTTTGTACAAAGACCCATGGAGCAAAAAAAACAACATTTACTAGTTTAAGCTAATCATAAAAATCCATTGAAAATATTAACGGTACCTTTGTAAATATATCTAAAATCCATCAATAGATAGCATTGTGAAGATTAATTAGTTTAACATTAATTTATAGATAATAAAAAACATTAAAGTAATCCTGGTTTCACATTATGAATTTATACATGGGTCGGATTTTCTTCTGTGGATAATTGCTTAGCTTGAGGGCGCTCGAACGTATTTGGCAGCAAAAGCTGTAATTGTATATTTGAGCTGATTAGCGAATTTTGTAGAGCGTAAAAAAACAAATAATTTTGTATATTGAAGCGTTATTGTGCGCCTAATGGTTAGGGAGAAAATTCCAAAAACTTTAAATTTAAATTCCCCATGTTATTCTTATGGAGAATAAGTCAACTGTTGTAGTTTGCTTGTTTATGAACATATTTTGATCGAATTTGGAAAATACATTCATTTTACTAAACTATTAACATTAAAAAACACCTTTTTACCCTCCCTGTTGCAGCAAACCTAAGTACTCGTTAAACTAATTCTATTTACTCGTTAAACTAATTCTATTTAAATAGGGAATAAATATGATATTTTTAAGAGGGAATGTTAGTGTAAATCCTATCAGGCTAATGGAAATTCGCTTAGTCTGCAGGTTTGCTGCGGCGGGGGTATTTTGTTTTTTTATCTCATGAACAGTGCCAAGATGGAAGATGCAGATCTAAATAAGGAGTTTACAATCATATAATCTATAGGAAATATAAAATTTTAAAAAAGTCCATACTGTTTATGAACCGTTTACTATTTATTTTTTTAGTGCTTAAATAACTGGTGTGAACTCAATAATTATAACAGTTTTCTTTTTTTTATAACTTTCAATAAGTTTTTAGTCAATTTTTTTAACAATTTTTTATTAATAGAAACTAAATATGTTCACTTTTAACTACGACAATAAAATAACACAATTATAAACTTGTCAATTTATTTTCTTTTTATTAATGTTTTTTTCTTATTTACACAACGTACTTTCTATCCAAATAAAATATCCCTTTACATGTGAGTACACTATAAGAACAGGTGCATTGTTAGCTTGGAACCATTTTAGCTTTCTTATGTCAAGTTGGGTTTAGACTTTGTTTTACAGCATACTGAATCTGAAGACTTCCTCAAGAGGTTAGTCCTAAGAGGTGGTTAGCCAAGAAGGTGGAAGGTCGCGATGCCGGCTACAGGGGCTACATAAAACGCGGGAATGCCGCGCCCGCGCCAGTCACCAACGAGTGGTACTCGTGTGATCAACAGTCAACAGGTAAGCTTGCCAAACTGTCAAAAGTTAAATATAAAGTGACAAAATTGTTTTTAAAATGTATAATAAGCTTTATAACCATTTTAAACACATTTGTGTGAAATTGTAGTTTTTTTATTAATTTTTATTGTGCTAAGCAAGGAATTCAAATGTTCTTAAATTTATTTTGTAAACCAAATTCTGTCCAAACGTAAATCAACACAATAACTTTTATTTTATCTCCAGAAGCACTGAAATTGAATATATTATTTACATACAATTTTTCTTGTATTATTGTTTGTGGTGTATTAAACAGAATAAGAGTAAGAAAGTGGTAGAACTATAACTGTGCCTGTTTAATTTCCTAATTTTAAAATTTATTTCATATGCTTTAAATGTTATTTTAAATACAAAATAACCAGTAAATAAACGTTAAAAAAATCTATTTGAGATAACATTTCAATTGTTTTGATATTCCAATGGTACAGCATTTAATACCTTTAAATTCATTGTTCTTTTCTTAAATAGTGTTGTATGTTATTTGCCGAGTAAGTGAATCTTATTCTGAAGAAAACAAAATAACCAATTAAACATGGGTATTACTCTATTTAAATGACAAAATAACAATAACATTTTTGAATGATTGAGCTATTTGACGTAATAAATATCATTTTAAAGACAATGTAAATAATAGTGCAAAATATTGTTGTTAGCTTTAACCAATGAATACAATAATTGGTTTAACTTTGTGAAAACAAAGTTCTCATAGAAAATAACAAACTACTTAATTAGGTGAGTTAAAGCGGCCTACTTAAATGTCTGTTCTAGCTTGTTTATCTTTGTGAAGCTTTCATTTGTAGAATGATTTGAAACAAAGAGGTAGACCTACTATAAACAGCAGTAAAAGATGGACTTTAAGCTTATTTTATACACCATATAACTGCAAGATTCTATTTAATAAAAACACAAGAGGATAAAACATCTTAGTGAAGTTTATAAAAGGCTACCGGTACTTCAGTTTTAAACATTCACATATATGTTTAAAGTAATTATATATATGGATACTATAGTATAAAGTACAAACACAGTGTTACAAAACAGAATAGTATGTATTTTTTGGGGATTTTGATATATATACTAATAATATTTCATTATTATTAATGTATATTATTTGTGATCAGGTATGTTAATTTTATTTTTAAATTTAAACTATCACTCTTGATAAAATGCATGACTAAAAGACAATAATATCTTAAGATAAAGTATCTATACAAAGTTACGGTGCTAGGAGACAAGAAAGGTGTTATATTGCAATTTTACAGATGGTTTTGTTTGTGTTGTCTTCTAAGTTCTAATTGCTTCAAAGTCAACTACCAATACTTTTGAACAATGCGTTAGTGAAATATAACTTTTGAATAAAGACAATTTATTGTATGATCTAGTTTCATATAATTATGAGTACAAATAAAAACCCACTTGTAATTTCTTCCAACTAGATGTAAGTCCAGTCATAATGACACGAGTGCACATTAAGGACATACCAAAAAGGCCCTTGAGCTGAAATATTAAATCCGTTATTAATATAATTGCTCAGAATCTAAGTGTAATTTTCAAAATTAACTCGATCTACTCTCAGTTTCATTTGCTGGGTGTTAAACCTGTTTGTGTTGAGTTGTTCTGTGCCATTATGAGAATGAGGATAACAGGTTCTTTCACAAACCAGATTAATTATGTATTCAACGTCTGTGGTGATTTTTCAAAGTGAGGAAATCACTCTCACCTTATTTTTTTATACGAAATTGACCTACTGTACTAGCATGTTAAGGCAACCAGGAGAACTTATAAACGCTTTTAAATACATAACCAATTTTAATAAAAATTGTCAGCTAGGTTTCCTAATAAAATTAGGGCCAAGGGGCTATTAAATACACAATAAATTAACAGAAATCATAAAATATAACAACTTTTTAGCTAACCATACTCTGACGAACATCAATATTGTCAATCTTTAAGGAAATTTCTTCTGTGGTTAAAAAAATTGAATCAGCTTGGTTATTTTGTATAAATTATTATTGTTATACACAAAATTAAAACTTAAGTATTATATTTTAGTAGAAATATTGTTTGTAATAAATGTATCTATCTTTTAATCTATGTATTTATGTGTTTTTCTGTCTTCTGCAATTTTGTTAAAATAATTTATAAATTTTCACAAATTTGGAACCCATAGCTTTACTACAGTAAAGTGGAACAAATGAGAGATAAACCACTTTCCTAAATGAAAAAAATCCAAATACTCAAAAACGTGTTGAGGCAAATTTAGGACCCCCTGGACCTTTCTTGGAGCTGTAGACAATACAAAAAATTTTAAGAATCCACCAACAAACCTATTTTAAAGTGTATAAGGTCATAGGAGAATTATTTATTTGTTCACAAAAAATTGTGTTAGGCATAGATGCTGGTAAACACATTTAAATGCTAATGAATAAGCTGTTCCAAGTAACGTTTGTAAATTCAGACACGAGAAGTTGTTGACCTTCAGTGATAGCCTCAGGGAACAGTTAGGTCTTTAAGACCTCCACAGCTTCCTCTTAGGTAATTGTCCATTGTTTTTCCAAGAACCACGACCTATACCTTTGATCACAGACATAACAGTACAGGTTTTCCTGTCAACAATACTAATGCATAAGTAGAGATATAATTATCTCACGCTCGACCAACCGTGGATTTAACCAAAAACCTTCACTCATGGTTTGTGCCCTTGTTGATCAGCAAAGTGTGAAAATTATGTAACCAATAACATTATTATGTGTAGTTATTATTTTACACTTGATTTCAAATGTTAATTGCTTATTTGATACTATAGACATTTTATCATGGACCAGCTTTGGCCAAATTCTTTCTTCAAGAAAGTATAGATGAATGAGCCTCAGCTCTACCTGTTTGCGGCTATTAAAATCTAGAGATTCCTTATCCAAATGTGAATCTTAAAAATTTCAAACCAGGACCCATTGTTTTTATAAATGTTTATACAAAGGCATAAAATTTATCAATTTTTTAAAACTGATACCGGTAATTTACTTTCAAACCTACTTTACGCCAGAATTGAAGAAACGTTGCAATAACATTATTAGATATCTGCCCCGAAAAAAAAAAAACATAAGTTACTGTAATCTTAAATAATCCTGGAAAACAGAAACATAGATTTGAGGCCTGAATATTTTCTAAAAAATTCATTTTTTCTCATTACGCCTGAACAAATCAAAGACTTATGAAAAAGGAAGATTTTTTCTCTGTCAGGTATGGTTATGGTTATCCCAGCAACTACAGATCAATTATCCCCTTATTGGTGGTAGAGTTTAAATCCTTTGAGTTTTAACTATGGCATCAAAAAAAGGTTAAATCAGGCCTGTATTAAAGCCAGAATCTTCTAAGTGATTTTTAAAACTGCACTTGTGCTAAGGTGGAGAAAATATAATGGAAAATAAAGACGGTAGATATTACAGCTTAGTTACCAAGACCAGCACTTATTAAGACCAGGATGATTGCAGATACCAAATATCCAGTTCAATGATCAATAACGAATGATATTACAATTTTGTACCGTTTCTCAGGGTGGTAGAATAGATTACTTACCTTCAGCGCCCCATTGGATTAATATTAACAACCTTGGTAAGTTCCAGAATGTTTTCGCTAAGCGCAGTCGCCTGGCTAGTGGTGGGGGCAGCTCACCTGGCTGCAAGTTACCCCTTCGAAGTGCCCGTGTCTGCATGCGTAGACATGATGCCTAAGGGTCCAGGCCACAACGACGTAGCCGCCCAGAACTCCAAGATCCCCTACGACTTCTCCTTGGAGCGTGTCACCATCCGCAGCTCGGACAGTGTGGAGTTCACCATCAGGCAGAAGGCAGGAGGACCGACTTTTGCGGCCTTTATGGTACAGGCTAGGTCCGGCAACTCCCCGACACCTCTCGGAACATTCCAACCCAAGGGTGACAACGCCAGGACTGTCACTTGCAGTGCTGATAATGTAAGTCTATTTTGCTATTTTGTCTTTGTGTACTCACAAAAGTGGAATTCTTTTACGTTTTGTGAAAGGGAATGGTCCAAACCACAAATCTTGGCCTTGTTGATATCTAACGTCAAGTTTTGTTGGATAGCATAATTAATTTGATGACCCAATGACAAATGGCATCTCAGTCCAGAATTTTTTAACCAAACCAGCGACCTTTAATTTTGAATGTGAACCCAACCACTTGGCTACCAAATTGATTGCATTAATTGGTTATTGAAACATCAATAGAACAAGTCTACCTATCAAGTTTAAGAGCAGGATGCATAGCCCAGGTATAGTTTAGGAAAGGGATCGGTAGAATGGTATTACCGTAAATTTATTAAAGGGTTTACAGTCAACGGTATTACCTAACTGTGTAGCAACAGAGAAATGGAAGTATTTATTTTATGGTATAAAAATCAGAACATTCTTGTGTAAAATATTTCAATAATTTAAAGTTTATTTCCTTTCCAGTAGGATTACAGATTGTCAATGAGCTATTAGTATTCAATAAAAAAACCAGAAACAAAGAAAGGTAACGAATGTCAATTATATGGTTACAATTAGGTTAGTAAAAAGCAACAAAATAAAAAAAATGTAATTTGAAGGATTTCAGAAAAACTCAAACTCAACTTATCAGTTTTGGCTGTATATTTTAGAAACTTGAAAACTAAAGGCCGTAAGTAAATCCGGATGGTATGACTTCAAATATAAAATTTATATATTAGGAAAATTTTATATTATACTTGTTTGCAATACAAACAAAACCAACCCGTCCATTCTTTGAAACAAAAATAAGATATCTTATCTTGTACCTATATAATACTAGCAGAGTACCCGTCCTTCGTACGGGGTTGGAATATAAGTATAAAATGCTTATTGCAGTTATACTCAAGCTTTGCGTTTGCAATAAGGGAGGAAACAGTTTGATAAAATTTGCTTTTTTAAATTTACAGTATTCTATAGTATTACACATCTACCATAGCCATAATGTTCTACCACTTCATCTAAACAATAGAGAAAAATAAATTATCAACAATTTGCAAAATATCACAAAATATTCATGAAATGAAAAACATAAACATAACTGTAAACAATCCTACTTTACAGTTCTCATTGCGAATCACAGTTTTTTGTTGCTGCTTAGTTCATATTAGCAGTTTTCATAAATGCAAAAAAAATATAGTGCTGCACCCTGTTGGTAAATCTTATAACTTTTTAATGCTTTTCTATATCATAGAACCAACTTTTTTAGTTGAAACAGCTGACTAAATTCTTTAACTCCCTTTAAATATGAATACTCATAAGGTTAACATGGGGAATTACAGAGCCACTGGGGCGGAGCCCGAAAGGATTTTTGAGATAAGAATATGCCTATATGTTAATCGGGAATGTAAGTTATCATCATGCAAAATTTCAGCCCAATCCGTCCAGTGGTTTATGCGTGATTGAACTTCAAACAAACAAACAAACAAACAAACAAACAAACAAACACACAAACTTTCACATTTATAATATTAGTAAGATCTTAGAACATGTAACAACAAGCATTTATAGCCAGGTCAAAGTCTTCTGCTGTCATGTTTGGTCTACTTCCTCTCTAGTTTAATGATTATTTTCAGGACACTGGTTCCCACAACAGCCCGGACCCAAAGAAGAGTGTAACTCTTATCTGGACACCTCCGACCAACTTCAAGGGAAATGTCAACTTCTAGTGAGTAAAATCTATTTTGATTTATTTTTATTCACAATAATAGTTATTTGTGCAACTAGTGAACAAAGTGAGCAATTGCCTCACTCGAGAGAAATTCTTAATCCACGAGCCGTAGGCAAGTGAGGAATGGTTTCTCGAGTGAGGCAATTGCACTTTGCACTGGAGTTGCACATTATATTTTTCCTATAGTTACCATAAAACAAACAAATTTGTAAAGAAACGTAACATATTTTTACACAGAAGTGAACTTTAATATGACATTTATTTAATGATACAACAGTACAACAGCTGACCAGCTGATTTACAGCCAGTGCTGCCAACGTATTTTGCGCGCATACGACCTTGTCTGCATGTTAGCTCACTATTTCGTGGCTTCACGTTGCAAATCTGGAGTGAGACAAAGTAATTAGAGTGAGACAATGTTATCATTGTCTCACTGATGAGTGAATTGGCCACTTTGCTTTCTCAAATCAGTGAGAGAACATGTACATTTGTTAGGTAACTGTAGGAAAATGCAGTTTTTCTATGATTTTAGCATAACAACACCTAATAATATCGGAATATTATATTAGTAATAGTAAATTGAAACAGAATTACATGCACAAGTTTTAATATTTCCAATCCAAACCATTTAAGAGACGTAAGAGGCTGTGGATAATTTTTGTTAGTGACTGTCTAAAAGAGACTCCAGAATTCAATAACAAGTCAAAAGTCAATGACAAACTAACACTGATCTTTTTATCTTTGGTATTTGTTATTTAATTTATCAATCCTCCTGATATGCAATAGGGTGTATATTGAGATAGTTGTTACTCAACAAAATTGTCCATTGTGTTATTAAATTTGGAAATGAAAATCAAGCACATATTCTTGAAATCTATTTTTTGTTTTTCTTGTTGTCCTTAATGGAATCTTGATGGTATTTAAATTACTTGTTGATAAAACTGTAGAAATATGCTATTAATGAGTGAAGAGAAACAAAAAAGATCTCTAAAATTTTTCAGGTTATATAATATAGGTTATATAAGCTATTGGAGTTTTATCTATTGTTAAATTCCTCTTCCTCATCATTAACGGCGATGATTCCTTTTAATCATCTTAAAGGAAAACTACTTTCCAGTATCTCATCATTCATAACCACTATTTTTTACTTGAATTTTTAAAAATATCTTTAGTTGACTTTATTTATTCCTGTTCGCACTTGCTAGGAGTGATTAATTAATACCCATTTCTATTACAGTGTAACAGTTGCTGAGAACAAGCTCAAGTTCTGGGTCCGCCATAAGGCTGCTGCCCTCTCAGTCAAATGAACAAAGAGCACTTCTGAAGAAAAAAGTAAGTACATTATTTAAATTGATATTTTTTTGTCCTAGGACGCTAGGCACAGGCCCGGGATTGTTTTTCAAATTACTTCAGTCATAGATAAAATACATAGGTGATTTGGCGGGATTTGAACCCAAGACCTCAGAGACCGAAGTAGTAGACCAGTTCACTCCCCCATAGATTAATAATAACAAATACTAAATACTATACTGTGAATCAAAGATCACTAGGTAGGAAATGTGTTTGTTACAAATAGAAAATTATAAAATACAAAACAGATTTTATAATTGACATTGGAAACTTAAAGTAGTCTTCTTATCCTGTTAGAAAATGTATTTGGTGTCCTGAAAAGCATGAGTGTACTGGAGTCAACAAAAATTTTTCCTATCATTCATCTTTGGTGTTAATAATTTATGCTCTTTACTCTTTTATTACAATACCAGAGGAAAATATAATAAATCTTTGTTGTTTGTTTGTTACAGAATATTAAGAGGAGAGTTTCCGATTTCTGGCAAACCCCAGCTGTAGAAGTTTCAATAATAAATGAAGAAATATTAGTCCAAACGCAGTTGACAATATTCTGTGTTCTAGCATTTTCTGTGATATAAAGCTATTTTGATAGTTTTTTTAAATTTTCTTTTAGTTTATCGGATAAAATAAATACATTTTTAGTAATTAAGGATATCAATTTAAACGGTTTTCTATATGTGCAATAATAAATACATATTTTTAAATATTTTTTAGTTTTGTGTACCTGATTTCTATTTTGTATAAATAATGCCATTTGACAATAGAAATTTTTAAAACAATATTTTTACTTTTTCTTTCCCGTCCCAGTAAATTCCTTCATATACAGGGTGTCCGGTCATAAGTGTTAAATAAAATTTTGCATCAAACTACATGGTAATGGCGACATAATGACGCACATTTGAGGTTCCCAACCTAAACCGTTAGGGAATAACAAATTAATTACAATTTTCCAAAAAATATTGTAGTTGTTATGAAGAAGGTTATATTAATCTGTTAAAAATGCACTAATTGTTCATTTAAATGTCATTTTCAGAATCCTCACAAAATTTTAAATAGATATAACACATAATCGTTGAGTTACGGAAAAATATGCTATTTACATTTCTTCGTTAAACAATTATTTTTAATATCGACTAAAATTTAAATAACATTCAGAAATTTATTTATCGGTTACCGAGTTCCGCTGAGTTAGACAAATATTACTAAAAACTTCCTTATTTAAAGGGCTTTACAATGATGTATAACTACATTTATCTACTGTCAAATCTATGGTGCATTTTTTCGCACTATTGGGAAAAATCACGGTTAAACCAAAACAGATATTGTAAAAAATAATGAATTTTACTTACTATTTTATAGGGGTGTGCGAAGCAGCAAAAAATTTTCGATTCGAAGCAACGATTCGATTCAAAAGATTTTCGATTCGATTCGATGCAACTCGATTCGAAGCAATACCGTATTTTTCTATTCATAATTGTCAATTGAGTGGATTAACAATAATTAAAATGTATCACATTTGTGTAATACAAATTTTTGTTGATGTGGTATTAGGCCTATTTCATACTTAACATATGAATTTTAGGTGAAAAAATATTTATTTTCAATCATATGTATTAGAATAACTGCTGGAAATACCAGTGAGCTGCTTTACTTGCCTATTTCATAATTTTTACTTGAATTGGCTCAACTGCAAGAAAGAAGAAAATATTTTTTTTATCAAGACATTCATTCTCATTTTAATAACTGTTTAAATAACTAAATAGGTGCCGGTAGCTAAATTACAACAAATTTGAATGGAACTTAATATAAAAAGACCATTAAGAAATAAATTTACATATCACAAGTTTAGGGCCTGTGGACCAGCTTCAGGACTGCAAGCAAGAAGAAAATAAAAATAATATGTTTCCACCATGCAATATGTATCATTCATTCCCTGCCTCCTAACCTCCTTAGTATAATAACCTCACACTTACATTATTTGTTACATCATCATAAATAAAGAATTATTATTGGCATCAGTAGGCCTACAGCTTTACCTAGGCATTATTTTTATAGGGCCTAAAATAGTAATAGGCTAGAAGCAACATGTCAAGTGGAGAACTCATTGAAGAAAAGATATTGTGTAAACTAATTTCCTATAAAACTCAAAAACAGTAAATAACATACAAACATTGTTTATGGTATAATTAATAAGGACTAAAAAATGCATATCATGTCATACAGTAGTATAGACCTACTGCAAGAGATTAAAATCCTAAAGCAACTGATTTGGATAGCTAATGAATGAAAAGAATTAAAAATCCATAAAATAAAGCCAAACAATATCACAACTAATTAGGTACCCGAAAAGTAACTCTTAAATAATATATAGAAGATTAAAATAATATTAAATCAAGAGACAAGAAAGTTAAATGCTATCTTCTAGCCTAGTGCCCTTGGCAACACAGGTCAATGTTTTTAAACTACCCTCAATGTTTTTGGAACAGCAGGGCCTTTTTCTCTTAAGGAAGGGTAGTAGTATGTCAACAAAAACAATGAATCAGTCTCACCAGCCAGGCCCGGGCAACGATGTGTGAATTCAAGGTCATAGACCCTCCCCCTCCCCTCTTACACCACCCGGTTGCTACCCAGTTGCTTCAATTGCTGACAAAATGCAAGTGATGAAACAAGGAAGTAGAGACAAAGAAATATATTTCTTTATTCAAAAACACAAAACTGTTAGAGATTATTTTCAAAGAAATTAATTCAATGTAATTTGTGAGTTGTAAATATTGTATTGGATCTTAGAAATATATTTTTTTAACCCCATCTAACCAAGATACAGATCTGTTCACTATATCAGATATTTCTTTTGTTTATAATTTATTATGTAAAATAATAAAATATATTTTTAATTAGGTATTGAATAAACAATAAATGATTATACTAGTATGTCTGGATAAATAGTCTTTCTATTCTTTTGACTTTGTTTTCTTTGCACTGTTAGTGTTGCGTCACGGCTTTTGTCTTGTTACTTTTATCAGTAGACGACTAGACCTGGCTCTGGCTAGTGGCAGTGCGGCAATTGCTCTGTTGTGTCTTTATTCTGAAAGGTCGTGAGCCAACTTAATTTTTAATTCTCATTTGAACATTTTAATTCCTCTGTAATAATAGATATAATAATATAAGAGTGTTTCTTTGGAAATAAATTATTCTTTTTTTTTTCTTTTGCCCCAACAAAAATTCGGGGACGGGGACCGGCAGACACCTAACAAAAATACCAAATGAATCAGTCTATAACATTAATCTTACTAGTTAAGTATTAAGTAACAATTTTTCAGACTTATTTTTAAAATGATTTTGGAGTAACCTACCTTGTTTTGGCTAGGTTCACAGTAGTAAAATATTTCACACACTGCTTACATCAAGACAAAAAACAAACCTCTAATCATTTGCAATGTCAAAACAAAAAAATATAAAACAATTAAAGCTATATTTAATGCAAAGAATGTATTAAATAAGAACGCCTTCGTAAAGGAAACGCAACAGCAACGCGCTCCTGTATTGCGGGTATTGCATTGACTTTCTGCAGGCGTTTTTTGTATATGGATACTGACTCCCTCGTGAATCGAATCGTTTTTTGACCACCACTGAATCGAATCGCGATTCGATGCATCGAATCAAATCGAATCGAAATTTCGATGCATTTTTGATGCATCGCACACCCCTACTATTTTATGAGCTGGCCACTGATGATGAGGGTTTGTGTAATTTATGATTGACCAGACTATACTTTCATCAAACTAAAGAGTTTTTGTTTAGACTTTGGAAAATTTGTTATAAAAAAACCACAATACGTTAGTAAAAACACATAATAAAAATCAAATCAATGACATACTTCGTCCGAAGCACAACTTTTATTAAGGTGGAATCACAGTTTGGGTGTAAAGTGCCCTCCGTTTTCCCGCAAGCAGGCCCTAACTCGCTTGTGAATTGCGCCAACTGTGACCTCATACGTCAATTTGTCCCTTACTTCCCCAGCAGCCTCAAAGATTCTCTCCCGTAACTCAACTTCAGAGTTTACAACAGTTGAGTAAACTAGACCTTTCATGTAACCCCAAACAAAAAAATCTAACGGGCTCAAGTCTGGAGATCGAGGAGGCCATGTCACACTTCCTCCACGTCGACCACGTCTAATCCATTTTGGGTAGTTTTGGTATAGCCACAACCGAACTTCCGCGAGATAATTGAAATCGTATCTGAAATATGAAAAATATACGATAACCGTAACTTTATCACAAACACATTTTACAACTATATATGTTTCTTTTCTTAGCTTAATAGTTATAAAAAAAACGTTGCATGCGAGAAGAAATACAAATTATTCTTTGCCAGCAATTCAATGTATTTTTCTTCACAATAGCTTTTCTTTGCCCTACCATGTTTTTTCACAACGATGATTGAATTAAATTAGGAATTTTGAAACTTGGTAAAAACTATATTACACCATTGTAAAGCCCTTTAAATAAGGAAGTTTTTAGTAATATTTGTTAAACTCAGCTGAACTCGGTAACCGAGAAACAAAATTGCTGAATGTTATTTAAATCTTTTTTCGATATTCAAATTAATTGTTTAACAAATAAATTTAAGTAGGATATTTTTCCGTACCCCAAAGATTATGTGTTATATTAGTCTAGGCATATTAGGAAAGTTAGAAGAAAGTTTAGGTACAGTCCTAATCATCACTTTTCTTTATGTTTTTTGGGTCGCTGAATACGAATATGAGGTTTGCTGACAGATATTTTGCCCGGAACATTGGTTATTTTGTGAAAAACCTTAAAATTTGGGCACTTTTTTTGGTTTTTCGGGCAAATCTCGGTAAGTATGGGTTTTTGAGAAAATCCTGCTTTGTAAAATTAAAGATTACAAAATTTACTACAAGTTTCCTATATAATGTTTGTTTCTACGACGAACCGTTTCGCCACTAGAGCACATTAAAAATGGCCAGAAGTACAAACAATTAAAAACATTGCTAAATGCTGCCGTTTTACATTAGGTGTCCATAGAAACAACCCATGTTACTATAATTTTAACTATTTATTCATGATAACAAACTGAAACACGCTTAAAAATACCCCCGCCACAGCAAACCTGCAGACTAAGCGAATTTCCATTTCCCTGATTGGATTTACACTAAAATGTTTCCTTAGAAATATCACATTTATTCCCTATGTAAATAAAAGTTTAACCAGTACTTAGGTTTGCTGCAACCACTGGGAGGGTAAAAGGTGTTTTTTGTAAAATGTAAAAATTTTGTATGAAATGAATGCATTGTCCAAATTTGATAAGAATAACATGACCATTGTAAATTTACAGATTTTTGGAATTTTCTTTGTAACCATTAGGCGCATAACAACGCTTTAATATACTAAATTATTTGTTTTTTAAGCTCTACAAAATAGTATGGAAATAAATCGCTAAATTTTAAGTTTATAAGGTCAAAAATAGGAAAACCCATATTTTACCCCATAAAACCCCCAATAAATCTCTGTTCCCATAGTCCGATTATGCAGGTTCGCGAACTCGTTCGAATAGACGTAGGTTTATACGTTTGTCCCAATTTTCATCAAATTGATGATTTCTGTCGAGTTCTCGCCCTAACGGACACATAATAAATATGAATTTGAACGGATGGTGTTTTTGGTCTCTAGGGGCCTCAAAACAAAAAAGTAAATCGGTCCCGCGTCCAGGTCTTACCACTAGTAATACGGTAATAGCTTATTCCCTATAGGGGAAATTCACTAATAAACTAACTAGTGTGTCTTCTGACCACATAACCAAACCTGAAAGAAATACCCGTCTTTTAGGATTAAATTGTGGAAAATTGAGACAATCTTTCTTTTTATAATGTTAATAACCCCATGAATAGGTTGGTTGGTAGGATCATGTAATTCACTCTCTTCGGGTTGAAGGTTGGCATTCCATCCATTTTTTTATGGGCCCAAGATGAGAGAAAAAACATCTTCTTCCACATCCTCATTTGCTTCTAAGGCTTCCTCAAGGGTAAGAAACTGAGGACCAAGTTTATCTTTGAATATTCTCAGCTGCCTACAGTTTTCTTCTTTATAGCAAGGCAAGGAGTGGTGAGTAGCCTATGTTGTCGATTAAGTTTTTCTTGGTTGATGCTTGGTTTTTTATGGTTGAAAGGTCGATGCTCTGTCCATAACTTGTGTAGTAGGAACCCACCATCAATAACATACTGCACTTGACCATGGAAGTGCTTGTTTTCAATGGGGACAGGGGCTTTAGGCCTTTAAAGATTTGATTTGGTTCTTTGTGCAAACCGTTATTATCAAACAACGAGAAAGAGTATGGACCCAGTTCATAGGACAAGAAGTGTTTTAGTTCTTCATCAGAATTTTTAAGGATGCTGATACGTTGAAACAAGGTGTTGGGGTATACGGGTAAGAATTCTCTACTTTCATCGCGTTATTCTATGGCAAGTGGCTGGACACGGTCTACTCGTCTGAATTTGACATTGCCAAAGTTAAAAGTTATCTACAACTCTTTTAATGTATTTCATCCTTTTTTCTCAATCACTATAGCAGTCAACCCTGTGGCCAGCAACATCCCTGTGCTGAGAAAATAAATGGGGGTTTTGTGGGAACGGGAAATGTTCCAGCAGTCAGTCATACATCTTGGCATAGATATATCAAGTGTGTTTCAGTTCATTATCATGAATAAATAGTTCTAATTATCGTAACATGGGTTGTTTCCATGGAAACCCAATGTAAAACCTTTGTAAAACGGTTAGGGTTTATTTTCATTTTTGGTTTTGCCCAGCATGATCGGACTATGGGAACAGGGATTTATGGGGGGTTTTATGGGGTAAAAATTAGTTTTTCCTATTTTTGACCTTATAAACTTAAAATTTAGCGATTTCTTTCCATATAATTTTGTAGAGCTTAAAAAACAAATAATTTAGTATACTAAAGCGTTGTTATGCGCCTAATGGTTACGGAGAAAATTCCAAAAATCTGTAAATTTAAAATGCTCATGTTATTCTTATTGCGACTAAGTAAACTGTTGTAGTTTGCTTGTTTATGTACATATTTTGATCAAATTTGGAAAATGTATTCATTTTATGTACCAAATTATTACATTTTACAAAAAAACACCTTTTTACCCTCCCTGTTGCAGCAAACCTAGGTACTCGTAAAACTTTGATTTAAATAGGGAATAAATGTGATATTTCTAAGGAGACATTTTAGTGTAAATCCAATAAGAATAAGGGAAATGGAAATTCGCTTAGTCTGCAGGTTTGCTGTGGCGGGGGTATTTTTAAGTGTGTTTCAGTTTGTTATCATGAATAAATAGTTAAAATTATCGTAACATGGGTTGTTTCCATGGAAACCTAATGTAAAACGGCAGCATTTAGCAATGTTTTAAATTTTTTGTACTTCTTGCCTTTTTTAGTGTGCTCTAGTGGCGAAACGGTTCGTCGTAGAAACAAACATTATATAGGAAACTTGTAGTAAATTTTGTAATCTTTAATTTTACAAAGCAGGATTTTCTCAAAAACCCATACTTACCAAGATTTGTCTGAAAAACCAAAAAAAGTGCCCAAATTTTAAGGTTTTTCACAAAATAACCAATGTTCCGGGCAAAATATCTGTCAGCAAACCTCATATTCGTGTTCAGCGACCCAAAAAACATAAAGAAAAGTGATGATTAGGACTGTACCTAAACTTTCCGCTAACTGCTACTTATAGTCCTAATATGCCTAGCCTATATATATATTTAAAATTTTGTGAGGATTCTGAAAATGACATTTAAATTAATTTAACATTAATTAACATTAATTTTTACATTAATTTAAATTAGTGCATTTTTAACAGAGTAATATAACCTTTTTCATAACAACTACAATAATTTGTGGAAAACCTTAATTAAATTGTTATTCCCTAACGGTTTAGGTTGGAAACCTCAAATGTGCGTCATTATGTTGCCATTACCATGTAGTTTGATGCAAAATTTTATTTAACACTTATGACCGGACACCCTGTATATGTCATCTTACAGTACACATAGGATTTGTATTGTTTTCCTTAAACATAGTTTATAATATTCATTCTAGTTTGGTACCTACCATTACATTATGTCAATTTTTAACAAATAAAAAAGTAATAATTGTAGTCATTGATCAAGGGTTTTACAATAGATTTGTGATTAAAATCAGAAGAGTAATCAGATACAGATTAAAAACCAATTGAGACACTTCTGTCTGTAAAAGAGTCTTTCATTTCTTATGTTATGGTGACATTGACATTCAATGCAGTAGTTTGTGTAATGTGATGTGAGAAAAGGAGTGATATATCAATCGATAAGTATAAGCAGCACCATGTATTAGGTAAGAAAGTTGACTAAGTAAATTTTAATTTACATTTTTCTCCACACATATCTCTTAAAAAAGTACAATACCGTATTTTGTTTAAAAACATTTTTATTGTTGTATTTTATATCAAATTAGTGGTCTAGGTGCGCTTTTGGTTTGTCTTTTGGTAATATTGGATACATGTTCAAACTTATACAAAACACAAAATATTTTAAAATTTAAAGGGAATTTAATAATTTCTTGAAATTAATAATTTTTAACACACATAATTCAAGTTTAAATTCAATACAAAATTCAACCTGTTTTATTCAGTTTACAAATTTTGTTGTTGGTCAAAAATATTTAATTCGGTAGCTATGTATATGCAAAATAAACTACTATAATACAATTTTTGAAGATAAAGATAATACTATAAATTTCTTAAACAACGCAACAATGAAAACAAATTTAATCCATACTACCTATAAATTATTTATTAGAAAATTGTTTTAGACTGTATAAATGTTTATTTTCTTCATGTATTATTTCCCTTTGCCTGCTATACTTATAGGTCATAACGACTGGTGATTTTTTAACCCTTTAAGGTTAAATAATTAGGGCCAGATAATCACCCAAATGCCTCAAAAGAATTTATATTAAGGATACTATACGTTAGTTGTACTTGTATCATTAAAACACAAAAGTTTATTATTTCATAGATACTAGGAAAGGTTTATTGCAAGGCATTTTGATTAGATACTATAACAATATAAAAATAATAATATTATTTATTTTATACTTTGGCAAACTACACTCTCAGTTCAACACCAAAGATTTGAATCCACAAAGCGCCTACACATTTTAATTAATGAAGCACACAATATCCAATACCAATGATCCTAAAAAGTTTGGTAAACTACTCCCAAATAATAACAAATATGTTTCAACCAGAAAACAGTATACTACGATGAAGATATTGCTCGTAGGAGTAGTGATGATGCTTCAAGAGGGAATGACCTATTATCAGAGTCAATTCGATCAAGTAGCTCCTCTTCAACCAACTAGGGACGTTTGTGTCGCCATGATTCCTCCCTACATCGGCAGACGACCCTTCAGAAACACGGCTCCAATGAACATTGAAGTGGAAGGCCAATGGATCAGTCACAAGAGGATTTGTGTGTGCGCTTCCTCCCCTTTTGATAGGTATCAAGCATTCACGGGCATGATGGTGCAAATTATGAAGGACAACTTGCCTTTTGGTGAGTTTGAACAAGATGAAAAAACAGAGGTTACAGACTGCTCGCCCGGTCAAAAGGTGAGCAATGTGTATTTTCAGTAGGAAGCGAAGTGATGGTTATACTTTACCATAAAGTTGACAGCCACTATGAAACCGAATACTATCCAAATAAAAACTCAGTTGCAAAGTCGAATACAATCCTTGCAAATGCGTTAACAGCTAGTAACATTAATGTAAGTGTACACAATACGGTAGTAGCAAACACTTTTAAAATGTTCAATAGCTAAGGTCTCAAGCAAAAAATGTTGTGTCTTTATGTTGGCTTTACAATATGGTGTTTTCAATGTAGTTTAAAAATTAGAATGTTCTCTTTTGTAAAGGGTAAAATATATAAATGTATTAAACACTATTTGAATCTACTTCATCTAAGTTTGATATCTAAATAGTGCCGCTCTAGTGGAAGCGAAAAATGCCTTTCCTTTTCTAGAAGGAAGGGAAAAATACCTCCGAAAGGAAGGAGGGTGGGAGCCCGTAGCAAGTCCTATGCAAAAAGCGGGCTTACATTCAAAAGACAATTTCAAAGACCAATTTTACATTTTATAATAAAAAATTAACAATAATGAAACAATCTATATCTCTGCTAGATTTTTTTACTATTTCAAGGTATTAATTATCGTGGATTCGATAAGTTTACAACATTTTTTAATCATCTCCACAACTTAGCTATACCAGTATGTTAGGGTTTTAGCTAAAACATAGTTTTGTCTGAGTAGCTAAAAGTGATTATAGTGATCGCCTTCAAGTCTGAAGGCTGCTGGTTCGATTTCAAGCGAGATTGATTATGGACTCTGATGCCATTAATTTGTCATTGGGCTGTTCAACAACAGTTTTGATGTTAGATAGTAACATGACACTGGTTTGGACTGTTCTCTCACACAAAAAAATTTTAGTTATATATTTTAGTAAAATATTTTTACAGATACACATACTCAAAATAATAAAAAAAACATTAGTCATGTCTTAAAAATGTAATAAAATATTTAAACAAAAAGATGACAAATGAGATTGGTAAGGTAGGAATACATTTACTATGTTAGTCTATACAAGGACTCAAAGGTTAATATTTGCAGAACTTGGCTCTCGTCCGGTCATCTTACAAACTCCTCACTGCTGCGGTCAACTGGGTCGCCCCTTCCAACTTTGATGTCTACACGGAACAGCTGTCCTGCATGTAAGAGTACAACATTATCTAATACATAACTGATTCTTCCACTTGTGTACACAGTTCAAGACGAGTTTACAAGCTTTTTACCAACTTTTAGAAAAAAAAACAGAGAGTTTGGTTGAGTGGTGAGAGTTTTACCAGCTTTTTACTAGCAGCTTGTAGGTTTTTCCATGTTCAGCGTACTTGCTGCATTCACTCAATAGTTACTATTAAAAAGATCTGAATATTATTGACTCTGAAGACGACTTTGCATGCCAATCACTGAATTCTGAGCAAACTAGATTGCCAAAATATCCAAGGGTACTCACATTTGCTTGTATAGTCTTGAGGATGTTATAGGAGTTGGTTGATAGCAGGAGTTGTATGTTGTAAATGAATGAAATGAAATGAAATGAAATATGCTTTATTGTCTTTTGAATTTTAACAAATTATTGACAACGTCATGATACAGCTAAACAAACTTATAGCACAGTCAGTTAATAATTAATTAAATACTTATAGCTAACTAAAAAAAGGAGACATATAGGCCTACAATACTTGTTAAAAAAACAAAAAACAAATTACAACTGAAGAATCTTATTGTTAAAAAAATCTTCCAAACTATAAAATGGGTTATTGGTCAGCCAACAATAAAATTTATTCTTGAAATCCTTTATAGTATATAATTTAATTATGGATTCAAGAAAGCTATACACTTTAAGTGACTATTTAGAGTTTTACTTAAACGATGGAATTCTATTGAGGTATGGTTCTTATTTCTGGTATTATGATTATGAGTATTGTGTCTAAATTTTAAAAGATGTTGATTTTCCAAGATATAAACTATTAAGTCATAAATATACACGTTAATAATGTACTTACCGTCAAGCCTGCTTTTCTACTTGCTGTCTAGTAGGTTGTAGTAGAGATGGGAAGAAATGCTGTTATTTTTCAATAAAGGTCAGGAACGCTTTTTGGTAATAGGTAAAATAATACTATTATTTTTTTCACCTATTAATTACAAAGCCCTCATAGATTAGGACAAAAAAAATCCAAATAACTGTATTTCCCATTAATTTTGAACCTTTCTGTATTAGAGTAACAATTGTCGCCATGAATCAGAAGTATTGGACGGTACAGTTTCCAATTATAGCGGCACCGCACAAATACCCAGGTAAGCACTTTTTATTACAATAGCACATTAGATAGTACCTACCTTTCTGTTCAATTCATACCTGTAATATTTGGAGGGAAAGACAGAAATGTTATTTTACTATCTTTGTACAGTCTAAAACTACAAATCAGGTTGTATGAGCTCTTGATGCTGATTTTAGTAGACTCGTCAGCCCATACAATGCAAAAAGGGTCAATAGGATTAGGATTAAGGTTTGTGAAAGGATTTTTAATTGATGTTTTTCTAAATAGTGCTAGTATATTGGTAGCTAGCTAACCTGAAATATTACCTATACCTATTTATTGTATGTTCTCCTCTTAAGAAATAAATGTTGTTACAGAGTATCCAAACATTACGAAGAAAGAAAAATTGACACAATCTTCGGCTTAGGTCAAATTTACTATTTAAATAGCAGCCTTGTTATATGCAATTCATTATATTTAGCTTAACAAACTGATCAAGATGTTTGTACCTACCAAATGTATTTAAATAGTTCATTTTCATGTAATTTTTATATCATATTAAATGTTTTTTATACATATATACAATTTTTATCAAACCTTTTGCTTAAAATAGTGTTTTTTGGTGTTAGGGACTATCATATTTTAATGTGACACTAAAATTTGCAACAGTTATCCATTGAGTTTTCAAAGGCATAATAAAATTTTGGGGTAAAAAATAAAATACGCCCCGAAGCAGTGTTTTCAATTCTCAGTTACACATACTCACTATTAATCCAGGTCTTGACTTAAGCGTAATGATTAACAAGGTTGGCCAGTTAGTTAAAACTATAGATGGCCTTTCAGATGATAAAACCATTTGTCTAATCTCTCAAAATGAGGGTCTGACTCGTGAAACTGTAGTTGTGGGCTTTGGCCAGCATGTCGTTTAGCGAAGAGAAAGTTGTAAGATTTGAAGTGGGATGATTTGAACAATTAACGTGCGTAAGAATGAGACTGAGGTTCAAAAGAACGCTGAATGAGCTACCGAATCACCGGAATTACTTTCAAATAGTGATTCATAATCAAAGGGGTTTTGTAGAAGATAAGGTAAATAAATAATGTTACATTTTTATAAAAATTCTGCATTTTATTATAGGTACTGTTTATAAGAAAAGACATTGTATAAAAATATACTCTGAGTTACTACATGATATAGAGATTACGAGGAATTGAGAATATAAATTTTTGGGTCCTGAAACCTTTTTTTGGATCACCAATGCAATGCTACATACATAGGTTGAATGCTTTCTTGAGGTTCCACTGGATGGCTGCATTCACAATGCCTGAGCCTCTGAAAAAGTCAACGGCTACGATGTTGCATTTGACTCCCCACGCTCCACGGAACCACTCTGTCACCTGCATAGCACAAACAAACTTATAATAGGGCATAATGATTAGAAATTTGTATTAAATAATAAATACTATGAGAACAACTAGGGTGCAATGGTTTAATTTATCAATGTTGCAAGTATTGAAGTATGAAGTGCAAAGGAAAAAAAGTGTAGGGATTACCACAAAACTGCTTTACCATAATATTTGTGTCAGCTGCCATTGTTCGTAAGCCTCCAGCAGAGTCCAGTAGTACGTCCCAGCGGTCCGGGGTCAACTCTGCCATTGCTGCCCAGGCTCCCAGCGGCCTTCTGTGAGAATATACAACTACAGTAGTATCAGAAACATAACTTAACAAGTAAAGCATTATATTGATATTTTTAGTAGAGTAATTTTGCCATGGGATGGTGCTCGCCAGGTTGCCAGTTAGATCCTGAGAAAATTTAGAACCTGTTTGATGGTTTCAAACTAGACCCAGCTGCCCTCAACTCCATTTATGGGAATGGCTAGAGAATCAGTTGTTATTAGTGGTATCAAAACCTACACAAGGCATCTAACTCCATTCTACACTCATATTTCAGGTTTGGTTTGAATTACATAAATACACCCAGTTGAATCCTCCACCCATTCAATAAATATTTTCTGATAAATATTTCCAGTTCTTGACCTAGAATGACAGGTTCAAACTGAAACCGTGCAAGACATTATATCACCGCCCCAGCGCCCCTCCTACCATCTTCTACTATCCTTTAATTACCTGCAAGTTATTCCATAGACGAATGAGCTATAAAGATTAGCACAGAAGTGAAAGAGTATGCATCACCAGTATTTGTTAGAAATGTTACTTAAAATAGTTTATAATTTTCAAATCCCTGTATACCATTCCACTGTCTTGCTAAAGTTTAGCTCTAATGCCTGCTTTCAAGTTGTGTAAATGCTGACAATAGAATCCAGATAAGAAGGTTTGAGGGACAGGCAATTCAAGTACAAAAATATAAAACTACTTAACAATACCAAAACCTCAATTAGGTTTTCAGCACTAAGATCAGCACACTACCTACAGATTAAACCTGCTACCCTTTCCAGGTTTAAACATTGCTTTAATGACCATACTTTTGTTGCTCCTTTATATTCTACACAACAATTTTGTCCCGTAAGCACTTGCCTAGTGGGAAATATGACCCTGAAAAATACCTTCTGAAAGTAGTTCAACCCCTTTATTTTTTGGTTTATGAAAAAAAAATCAATCCAACCCAATCTTTACCCCTACTTTGAGGAGTTCTGCAAATTCCCCATGAAAGTACCCATCAATGTCCTTATATCACAAGCACAAAACTGAAACCACTACAGACATAATCAGAAAATAAGCTACAAAACTTACTTCCTCATGACGGAATCCAAGAAAGTCTTGAGTGAGTCCAGTTTCTTTGTGTCAGCCCACTGATGTCTTACAGGATGCCATAGCTTGTGAGTGCCTCTAGCGACTACGGCTTGGTTGTTGTAAGACACTATCAGCTGTTTGCCAGTCTTCCAGATATCATTCAATGTAGAGTACCAACTCAGTGCTGGTGTCACCATGTATTCCGACAGCTGATCCTCAATGTATTTGACCAGCTGAAGGTGAACATCTTGCGTCTTGAAACCTGTGAACAATTAAGAATTAAGATTCATTTTAGAGATTACATTAATAAAATCCTAATAAACGATTAATCCCCATAGAACAAATCTTAGAACACTTAGTGTCATCATATTTACGCCATAATACACTATTTTGACGAACTACCCAGCAAGGATTTAGTCCAGAAAACAGCTGTTTGCCGCAAGCTTAATGAAATGGGGTTTCATTACGTGCTACTGTACTGTTGAGTTGTACCGGGCACAAATCAGCTGATTATACTGTATGTGGGTGGCAATGAGTGGTTATAAACAAAAACATAACCTCTCTTAGGGGCGGTTTGGGAGCTCGAGCCCAGCTAGTACGCGCCTAGTGTTAGACGCGCCTAACTTTAGTCCCCGGACAAGAAACCAGGCTTGGGAGCTCGCGCCTAAGTTGAAATGGTCGTAGATCAAGTATAGTCGCGCCTAAGTTGCAGCGCAGCTAGATGGACAGGGAATCGCGGGGAATTCATGTTTTGACGTTGGCAACGGCCACTGCAGAGCACGTTACCGTTGACAACAACAAACGATGAACAATTGAAGATGGATACAATTTTATCATGGTATATCAACGGTGGATAATTAGTAGACTATGGTTTAAGTTTCTGCATTGTACCATTGCAAAAATTTAGTTTTGTAAGATCGTTTATTTACATCTCAATGACGGCTATGTTTTATTTCTGGTACTACACCTTATAAATACTTACAGAGCAACATAGGCTTCTGAAAATCAATATGATTTCTTTCAGAGATCAAAAACATTAGGTAGCCTAATCATTTAACAAAGATTACCCTGTGTGTGGAACGGTAACATCTGAAACTCGGTTTCATGCAATAAAAAGCTTCAAAATTAAACAGCAATTGCCCTGTATAATATATGGGTATTGACGGAAATAAAATAAAGAGTATTTTAAGTAATTGCGGAGGTTATGATAGTGTGAAGCAAATGTATACCTATCTGATAATACTTACAAAAACATTTTTGTCAATTAAAAAATTTTTAAACATGACACTCTTTTATCTAACTTTCCTATAGGGAAGTAGCTATTACCGTAGGTAGCACTTAGTTCCGGGACCGATATACTTTTCCATTTTGATGTCCCTAGAGGCCAAAAACATCCCCTATTCGTTCGTCCCTATTCGTTCTAATGTTTATATATGTATAGCCCATAGATTATATACACGTCCATGAACGTGCCAACTTGAGTAATTTTTGTCTGATTTTGATAACATTTTGCATGAAAGTGTAAGGCGCGATAAACCTTAATGAGTTCACGAACCAGCATGATCAGACCATGGGAACCCGGGGTTTTATGGGATAAAAATAGTTTTTTTACCTCAATTTTAACCCCCTAAAACATAAATCTTTATCTTTAAAATATTTTAAAGAGTATAAAAAACAAATTAGTATCTTAAAATGTTTTGTACGGTTAATGGCTACAGAGACTATTCAACAAATCTTAAATTTAAAACTTCCATGTGATTCTCATGGAGAAGTTAACTGTTGTAGTTTTGTAGTTTATGGATATATTTTGATGAAACTTGGCAAATTTATTTATTTTATATAAAGCTGTTAATATTTTAGTAAAAACACACTTTATTGCCCTCCCTGTAGTAGTATACTTACACGTAGGTAGTTCTAGTTACTTGTTAAACCTAAAGCTATTTAAATAAATTTAATTGAAAGTCCTATTAGGTTATTGGATATTCGCGTAGTCTGTAGGTTTTCTGTGGCGGGATTATTGATACGCAATAAAAATAAAACGATTATAACTGTGAGCTATTTGCAGTTTTTTTATGTTTTGTTTATTATCTCTTCACTCTTTCGTAGGAGGTGAGTGGGGGGGGGGGGCATGTATGCGGTTGCTAATTTTTTCCAAGCTAATATAATATTTATAATTAAGGTACGGGTGCTTATAACCAAACTATCAGTTGAAATAAATTATATTCAGGCTCCATATTTTTATTGAAGTTAACAGTTAAGACAAAAACAAAATAATATTTCGTTAAATTACTTCCCGCAAGATTTTTTTATTATTTTGAACAACAGAAACCTAAAAAAAAAACTTTTATCAAATATACTTTGAGGGTAATGAAATTGTTCGGAATTTAATAACGAATTCCAATATAACATTCTTTTACTTAATATGTAAACAATTAACTTGCTAATGAGCTAATACCGGCATGATGTCGACTTAGACCTGCCCCCTGGCAGGACTAAAGTTGGGGACTAAACTCACTGATTTTTATGACGAAAACATATCTCTTAGTCCCGAAATTGGTCTCCCAAACCCACCGAGACTATCTCTTGGGCTGGCGCCTAAGTCTACTTGACTCCCAAACCAACAATATTTAGGCGCGAGATTATCCCTGCATAAGTTAGGCGCACGCCTAACTGATCCCGAGCTCACAAACCCGTTTTCGAGGCGGCAGCCTAAAATACCGGAAATATCCGGATTTAGTCGCGGACTAGCGCTAATACCGAGCTCCCAAACCGCCCCTTAGAGGTTAGTGATTTTTAGTCCTTTAGTTGGTGGTAATGTATAAGGATTTGTACAGATTTAGTAGTATGGCGTAAACTATTACGTCACTCGTCCAAAATGTGTTTTCAGGACTCGGACTCGTATGGTAATCCCGTACTCGACTTCGTCTCGCAAATACTTATTTTCAGGACTAGTAACGTAATATACTATTATACATTATAAGTAATATATCACAATTTACAACTTTATTATTACCACAGATTAAAGAGTAGACCAATAAAGTCTATCAACCTGAAACAAACATGATCAGCTCTCCTGGACCAAGGCCCCACTAGAAAAAACAAGCCATGCTGCAGGATCCATGACATCACGCTGATTAACTGCTATATCCCATATGTTTTAGGTAAATAAGCTGGCTGTTTGTCAGATTTTAACTGTAAGATTTTAGTACAACTCAACTATCCACCACTGTGACGTAGTGTTTTGCTGCCCGCGCTGCAGCATGGCCTGTTTTTCTAGTGGGGCCTTGCCTGGACCCAGATCTAACTATGAAGACTTTGTTATGAATTAACATTTTTTTAATTCATATAGGTCCTCTATTATTTTTAATTTGTATTAACGACCTCCCAGAATGTATAACCAGTAAAACTTATTTGTATGCAGATGATAGAACATTTTTAAATATTAATCCCGATCTTAAACAACTTAAAGAGTTAGCTCAAAACTCAATCAATGAAGCTTCTATTTGGTTTGAATCAAATGGCTTCCTCTTAAACAAAGATAAAACTCAAAAAATTGTTTTTAGCCTTAGACCCTGTGAATCAAATATGTTGGATGGTTATGTAGACAATGTTAAATTTCTTGGTATTTATCTGGATAAGACCCTTTCTTGGGGAGATCATATAGATTACATAAGTTCTAAGCTTTCAAGGGTAATTTGTCTTATAACTAAACTAATACATTGTATAGATCAAAATTATATTAAAACAGCCTACTTTGCTTATTTCCAATCCATTTTCAGATACAATATTATCTTTTACGGAAATTGCAGTAGGATAGAGGAAATTTTAGTCTTACAAAAGAAGTTAGTTAGAATCATATCTTGTGAACCCCAACAGGAACACTGTAAACCCCTGTTCATTCAGCTACAAATTCCAACAGTAATTAACATTTATATATTTGACTCTGTATCATATATTCTACAAAATCCCAACCTTATCAAACAAAATTCTCATGTTCATAATACAAGGAATAAAAACGTTGCTACCATAGATTTTTGACCATTAGATTATCAATGACTTATAAACTATTGTTAAAAATATTAAAAGTTAGTCTACCAAACCGATCAATGTAATTGATATTTTCAAATTGTCTACTAAACAAATTCCAAACTTCTTGACCTACAGCTCAATTGTCTAATCCAACTGCTAAATTGCATTTTTCACATAAGTACCCAAACATATCAGGTAACATTATATGCATTTATATTAATTAACATACCAGATCATTATAAATACATTACCAACAGGGAAGTGATGCAGGTCCAAAATTATAATATCCCTTGAATTGTTGAGAAAAACGATCACATCGTCTATAACTCCTTGGAAGTGCCTCAGCTTGACAAATCCATGATGAGTGTAGAATCCTTCATTCTTGTGATGTCCAAGCCGTATGTCCAGATATCTAACTCCGTGGATCAGTTGTGATAATACTGACTCCTCCTGTGAAATATTTGAAGAAAACTAATTGGAAACCAGATTAGAAATAGTAATTTCATCACAAGGGCTAAAGTGACTCTCTTCGACCTGAGTTCAAAGTTTTATCAACTTGCCCGTGCGAAGAACTTAATTTTTTGTCATATTGCACATTATTTAAGCAAACTAAGATAGAAAACAACAAACCAATTCATGTATAACCTCTCAAAACTTCTTCTAACTTGTTTTCAATTTAGCTGATGAAATTGCAAACAAGCAGCTGTTTAGTAAGAGATTCAATCATTTCAACAATTTCAATTGTGTCAGTGTACATTATACAATCAATGTGTCTAACTGTTAACAAGAATGCAAAAAGTAAGCTACAGCCGGTTAAAGCTGGGGATACATACTTTCGATACATTTGATTGTGAATGGATAACAACAATTGGATTGCCTGAATCAGGTATTTAAACCACTATTTTTAGCTATTCCTCTTAATCCAAAGGCCAAAGGCTCTTAATACTCATACTACCAGTACAATGAAAATAAAAGTCAACGAGTTTTTTTTATAATTTAAAGAACTTGCAGCTGCCTTATTTTAGACTAAAAATGCTTGAGATGAGAAACTTGGAAAAATGGAAAAATAAAAATATATTCATAAAAGATCTGATGACTGTGATTTTAATGTTGAAAAATATTGGGTAACATATGTGCAGTGGCTTGGTTAGATCAAATTTTGCAAACAATTTGCAGGTTTGTAGCTAGTAATTTCTGAGCTTAAAAACATTTGATTATTCGTTTCAAGTACTGTAATATATTCATTGAATCCAAGTGGCATTGTGTTCAAAACATACAGACTAATTGTTATGAACACTACTCTATTTTCTTATCTTTTTCAGTTGTGCAATAGCAACATATTTTTACTTTTAATGTTATAGCAGAAGTTTTTATTAAACACACTGTTAAAGCTCAATCAGTTGGAACTACTGTTGGTTTTACCTGTGTGAAGACATACTTTTCAAAGCGAGTTAGTTCACGAGCTTCAAAGCTGACGGAGTAGGCTGCTGAGTCGTGTGTTCCCGGGAGGAACAATTCAGTCATTCGGAATCTTCCCAGCTGATCCTGGTGATCCCACATCCAGGTGGGATGAGTCTGAAGACATGACGATGCTACCTCTGGATACGTGTTTAAAGGAGATGACAATTTTGTATTAGTAAAACCACCATAATACAATAATGTAATAAACGACTTTTAACTGGCAAATCTGCCTTCTGATAGACACAGCATGATTGCCATTACACCTATGTACCTACCACTTATTCAAAATAGAAAAAGTTCTAGCAAAGATAAAATTATCTATACACCCAATATCTCTATTCAGATTTAGTAAAAGATTAGGTCCCTGAAATGTAACATATTTAATGTAAAATTTGGTGTGCGAGTCCTAATTTACAGGTATGGTACCTTTAAAATTTTGATTTTAAATGCAATTTTTCCTATAAAACCCATAAACAAAGAGAAAATAGCATTTTAAAATTCCGCTTGACTGATTTTAATTAAAATTTAGTATGTTATGGTTTTTATAGTTCTAAACAAACCGGTACAACCCCCATTGCTGTAAAGATTATGATTTTAAAGTAATTGCAGCTTTTGTGATTTTTCCCATAAAATATCACAGTTGTTACTACCAACGCTGATAGTTGTTAAGAAGCTAATGGGAGAAAGTATGTGTGAGATTGGTGACCGTTTATTTTACTTACTCTCAAATCCTCGCCAGTAAATGACCCAATAACCCAGACACTGGGGGATAAATGTGTCCCTGTAGTTGAGGTAAGTTTCGCTCAAAGGGGTGTGACTCCAGCCAGAGGTGGAGGAGGGGGAGAGAGTAAACACGGGGGAGGTCAGGTTGACCTCAGGGTCTGTCACGTACAGAGCGATCATATCAGCTGACTCCACCTGTGGCACCCACCAGCTGATCAGCAGACGGCGGTTTGTCTTCTTGTCCATGCGACTGGACACACTCACTTCCACGTGGGATTTGCTGCACACATCCTCTGCAACAAAAATATACAGTAACTGGACGGAATCAATTAATTTTGATTAGATTTCTACAGCACTGATACCAGGTAGTTTTAAAACAAAGATAAGTGATTACCGGAATGATCTTTGCTATCTCAGGATAGATCGAGGACCTTATTTATAAAATTTGTTTACATTTTCATTAATTATGTTTTATAACACCAAATAAAATTCATAAAATAAATTATATGCCAGGGTTTGAATAGGGCCCTATTAAAAAGTAAAAATAGTGTTGTTATTTTCTAAAATTTACATAGGTTTAGTAAAAAAAAAATTAAATAAAAAATATTACAGACCAATTTTTTTTCTTTTTCTTGTCTTTTATGTACAAAAATTATTCTTTATCACGACCTTACAAAACCAATCAACCAGAACATAATCAAGCAAGTTGAATGAGCTAGCTAGTTTATTGATTGCAACACACGTCAATTGGGTTGATCCTTTTAATTACTGAACTCTCTCTCATTTATCTCCAGGATCATCAAGGTTGTAACATAGGATGATCTCTCATAACTTTACTTTTACTTTTTTTATTATTAAAAATGTTTATGTTCTGTATTCTGCACTGTCTAATGTAATTAATTAATGTAATAATTGTATTTACTGAGAGAAAATAAATATTCTTATTCTTATTTTTAAAAGTAATGAAAAAAGGCCTCATACTTATATTTTACAATTCCTAACAATATATAATGTTTGTACTACAATCTTAATTGAGTTAAAACATACTTACAAAATTATTAGTCCTTTTTGTGCATCAACTAAAACTGTTGCTAAAAAAAATAAGTAAAACCTAAATGAATATATTATTGTATGCAATTTATGTCAGTGTGAAGAAAGGGCTAAATTTAAACTAAACTGCATTTAACATGTTTGTACCAACAAGAGTTTACAAATCCAGACTAAATCAATACATTATTCTCAACCATAACTAACCTTTTGTCATCAAAGGTGCAGAACCCAGTTGCAGTCGTAACCCAGCAAGCCGTGAACCTGAGACTTGTGAGACGTAAAGGAGCAGGAATATATAAACACACATAATCAGGCTGTAGAAACTTGAGTGAATTGAGCTGAAACCCCACAGGAAATCCCACCCTTTTCAACACCTGTCATCAGCTGACCCTCACGGTCTATTGGTGCTGCTTGACAATGAGAGCCATCTCTCTCTCTCTCTGGCTAACTGATTAATGACCATGAACAATCAGTGTAGCCAAGCCAGCGAGACAGTGATGTCATTACTTGTCAGGTGTGATCTTCCTGTGTAAAATGGTTAAATGATGTCACTAGTCAAGGACACTGTCAATTTATGCCATTCATTTTAATTTAGTCGGTGGAAATTGTTGGGAAATAGGTGGAGTTGAGGAATGTAAGAGGGAGTTAAGAGAAGTATGTGCACAATCTGTAAAAGTTTTACAAAACACAATTGGTAATTTTCATTGGTTTTTACTATAAAAGCAGTATAGTTTGAATGAGATTGAAAATTGAAGACATAGAACATTTAAGCTGTGGTGCCCACTTAAAATTTAATTTTTATTACATCAAGGTACATTTTTAAACTCTTAGTTATATATATTTGTTTAAATGATTGTGTTATTTTCCTTGAAGGAAATACATGGCCTGAGTTGTGCAGCTAAGATTTACTTAGGTTTATTGATAAAAAAAGTGGTTCCTAAAGATCAGGTTCCAGTTGAAAACAGTCAACTAATGTGTGTAGCAGAGCAGTAATTGATAGTGTGAAAGTTAAATTTTATCAACTCACAACTTGTATCACCTCCAAAAATGAGACAAAACAAATTTATGCTCACCCAAATTATTTTAGAACACAATTTGAATCAGAAGTCGATGCAAGTGTTTCAGAATCAGTTTTTCTAAAGAAATATCTCCTAAAAAATTATCTCCCAGAAAAATTTTCAATCAAAGTGATCCATATATTATTTTACAGATTTTCAGTATTAAACCACAAATTCCTATAGAGAAAATATTTTTGTAAAGTACTAGAGCTCGCCCAGTGGTTGAAAGCTCGACCAAAAGCATGTATTGTGCAAAATTCTCTATTTTCACACCAATCTGTAAATAAAACATGTGATTGGAATTTCTTCTATTTTTTTTTGATCTTCTGTTTATATTTTGTTGTTATTTCATCACCAACATGGCCACCCATAAGGCCCATGTTATTTTTTTTTTAATTTTATATTAATTTGTTGTGTTTATTTATGTGTCTATATCAATTTAAAAAGGGATTCTGCACATCCACAGGCAGAAATTATCTTTCTAACAGTATGCGTAGATTTTCCCTGCGATGCACAGGAGCTGAGAATAGTATATTTCATCACTAGGGCCTAAAGTGACTCTTATCATAGACAAAAAGAATTAAATATAGACTTTAGAATTTAACTCAGCCGTGCTGCGGTTACCATGGTTACCGTAGGTTCCGGCGCTTCACACCGCTGTAGTTTACATAGCGTGTACGCC